GAATTCTCGCGTTAAAAGGTGAAGGGCACAAATAAAATAATGAACGCTCTCTCCAAAAAGAGTTGAAGAGTTGGGATATGAAAAGTGAGAGTTGTCTTGATTTGTAACCCAATTGATTTGAGCTATTAAGTCCTCAGGGGTGTCTTAACACCTATGCCCTAAAGCCGTCTGGTTTAGAAGCCATTGATCCAACACTCGTTACACAAGTTTTCTAAAGAGCTTAAAAGATCTTTATATTGCACCATGCTCTCATCTTCGATCCCATTATATATATATATATATATATATATATATATATATATATATATATAAAGAATAAAAGGTTCATTTATAGTCTTGATGATTGATATTTGAGATGTATGCTAGTTTAAGGCCGAATTGTGATCTTTACATTGACTATGCTAAAATAACAACATATTTGGATGCTGGTTCACTTAAAGGATGCTAGATTTTGATTTTGACATGCATGTTTAGCTAGTTAGATATGTGGGGACCATATTTGTTTATTTGATGTTGAGATGTTGAGATCGCTTAGTTATGGTTGAAAGTTGCATACTTAAGATAGTCTTCTTGTGATGATTGTTGGCATGTGCTTAGCGTTTCATTTATGAGAATGAACTCTCAATGTTTGTGGATATTATTTCTGGAAACTCTCACGAGACTTCATTCGTCCACTGGGGGTAACCTAGGGGTTTAAAAGACTTGTTTTATATGCTAAATGCAACCGTGATCTCTACAAAAAAGGAGTTATCTAGTTTTTACTTTTCACAGTTATTGTTTTCTTTCAGTTTTACTTTGTTTCATTGCTAAGGGGCTAGCAATATGTAAGTTTGGGGGTGTGATAAGTGCTGAAATTTGCATTATTCAGCCCTTAATCTTCATTAGTTAGTAACTTAGTTTATCTTTACTTTTCAGTTCTAATCGTAATTTGTTTCATTCTTTACTTTTAGACTTTGTATATTAAACAGGGTTAATTCCAGTGCCTTAGAGATTGACAGATGCCATGCCTTGGAAGAGCAATCAAAAGAAACTCAAAGTCAAAGTCAAGGGAAATCCGATCACTCGGATTGCGTTCGGACTCCGCTCGTTCAGACTTCTGACTTGCGCGATCGGATTGAAGTCTGCTAGGTGCAAAAATCATGTTTTAAGCTTTGATTCAAGGGGGCTCGAGGTGTAACCCATCAGGTTTCCTTGTGCATATATTATGACTATTTTGGGATCCTAAGATTCACATATAAATAGAAGATGAGCCAATTTGCAAAGGAGGTTGGACAATTAGAAGACTGAATAGACAAATTGGACACTCTCTCTGTATTCTCTCTCTAAGGTTTCTCTTAAGGAAGAAGAAGAAAAAGATGAACCCAAGCTTGGAGATGGATTGTGAGACCACCATAATAACATCTACCTTCTCCATGAGTGGTTAGTTCTTTACTTAAGGCTTGGATGGGCCCTAAGCTTGTGTAATTAAACCTTTTGTCTTTCAATTTTGAGGATTATGAATTGTAATTAATTTTGCTTAGTGTTATGAATTTATACTTGGTTGTACTAAGGTATATATTGATAATTCTTTCAATTGATTCTCTATGTTGATTACATGTTGTCTTATATGTGGTTAATTGAGGATTGATCTCTATATGGAGTACTTTTTGTAATTGTGCTTAGTGATGACCATACATGATTTTTATTGGATACATCTGCTCTTAGTGTGATGGATTATGCTTAGTCTTAATGGGTTGTACTACACCTTATAATAATTGTATTTAGGTAGATAATTCATGCTTGAGTTTGATAATTCATACTTATTCATTGCAATTTGTATTATCTTCTTAAACATTAATGTGTGCTTGTAGTCACATTCCTATTCCAATTTGTTTTCCCCATTTATTGAAGGCATTTGGTATAATGGCATGAGCTTAATGGTGTAATCCATGCCCCAAGCCTCTCTCTCCTTATTACCTTAATTCAATTTCACCTTAGTTCAATTAATTTGCATGCTTTCACATTATGTTAATCATTAGTTTAATCAAAACAAACACTATCTTTTCAATCTCACGCTCATTGATGTTGAATTAAATTCCAAGCCAATAATCCCAGTGGACGATTCCTACTCACTATATTAGCATATAATTGTTTAGTGGTTTTACAAATTTAAAAATTGATGTCCGATTTGCCATATATAAACACCTATTTTGATTGACACACTTCGTTCACATCAACAACCCTTTGTGCTCGAGTACAAAGTCGCAGAGTAGTTTTAGCATATCCGTTTTTGGCCTGTAAATCCGTCATTTGGGTCCTAAAACATGATTTTTGAGTTCCATATAATCACCAATGATATAGACAACGAAAATACACAAGATCCAACAATTTAAAACAAGTTTTATACATTAAATCAAAAAACCTATCAATTTGAAGAACAAATACATATAAACATGAAAACAGTTAATTTCAAGTCATGCATATTAATTAATTATCCAATTAATTATCTGATTTAAACCCTAAAGTCTAGCATGTGATGGAGAGACTATAGATTTAAAGGGGAAGAGATAGATAAAGAACTTGTTTTGTGATCTTCAGATTGAAAATCAATTATATAAGCTCTTCAATCTTCTTCTCTAATTCCAACAACCTTCAAGTTATCTCCCGTCACCTTCTTCTTCCTCTTATCTCTTTCTAGATCTCTGTCTCTCTTTGTAACTCACATATATATAAAAATCTTCTTCTTTTGACTACTACTTTTATAGATATATATAATAACCCACAAATGCTAACCGAAGTCTAACTATAATAATAATAGTAATAATAATAATAAATCTCAACATGTATAATTTACCAAATCAATATCTTCTTCTACTAATACACACACACACACACACACACCCCTTCCATGGGTCATAATTCTATATAACTTATCTAACCCTCTCCAATTAGCTCAAATCCATTTCTTTAGGTTAAATAACACTAAAGCCAAACCGTAATAAATTAAAATAACATAAACTAATTAATTAAATAAGTAAATTGCATATAAACAAATAATGACAAATAAAGTACATTAAATAATTTAAAATAACCTAACTAACCGAATTAATCAGATAGCCATTTAAATCAAATAAACAACAATTTGCCAAATAAAAGAATTAAAATAATAAATTAAACACTCTGAAAATTAGGAGTATTACAAGATTCAACACGATTAATCGAGATCTAAGTTACACAATTCTTTTCAACAGGTGTTGCTCTCATGCTTAACGCGCTCTTTCGCTCAAATTCTTACTAATTATGATTTAATTCTGTTACTCTCATGCTCTTGCTCTTGATTTCCTCTCGTTCCCGCTCCCGCTTTATGTGACTTAGATCGAGTTTACAACACATTATTTGAATCCTTAATTAATTATGTCGCTACTCAATTTAGTTGTATTGCATCTTGATTTTATTGTGTTTCATATGTGTGTAATAAAGTTTTTTTTTTTCTTTTTTCTTTTTGACATCATATTTGTGCAATATAGTAACAACACCAAAAATTGTTAAACAAAGGATTCGAATGGTTAAAAACGTGAAGCCTCTTGGGCTCAAAAGCTAGATATTTCGAGTGGGAAATAGAATTATTCATTGATTCTTCCACATGGACAAGCCCGTGGAATGCAAATCCTCTTCAACAAAAATTTTTCTTCGTTCTCTACGGTGTGAAATTTCACATATTTTTACTCGTCTATAAATATAATAAAATTCAGTATTTAAAATTAAAAAAATGGAAAACTGTATGGAGTTGAAATCCATAAAAATAATGAAATTCACCATTTAAATTATTGAAATTCAAAATGGTGAAATTTATGAGAGTGAAATTATCACTAAGAGTAATGAAATTTCAAAATAAATTTGGTAAAACTGCACCTAAAGCATAAAAGCTACTGTAGAGAATTCACACGTGGATCTTATGATTATAATGTATTTAGCACAGGACATTTTTGTCCTTTAGATCTTTTGGTAGATTTTTTTCAATCAAATTTTTTTATTCATAAGAAAAGATAATATAGGGAAGATAGCATCTAATAGTCACTGGGTCACACACTTCACTGAAGATCATCACATTGGGTTACAAGAGTTTTTTGGCTCAAAAAATGAGTTTTTTGGCTCAAAAAATGAGATACAAGAAGGAACCTGAACTATAACATTACCTTTACCTTTCCAAGAGAAGGGCCCCACAAACATTTGATAAGAACACCGACGTAACTTTGATGGCTGACCAATAATTCACTACCTACCAATTTTGTCCCAGTGGTGAAGCTTACCATGTTATGACGTTTGAATTTACCGCTTGGGAAGATAAATTATTCAAGAGAATTCAAAACCTAGTCTTCTTAATTTGACTTTGACAATTATTTTTCTTAAATTGGGATTGGATAAAATTGAAGCCTCCAAACTCCAAGAGGACACAGATTACTGTGCATGAATGCCTATCAATATATTGTTATTACTAATATTATATAAAATTAAATGCTACATTTTAAGACCTATATATATATATATATATATGTTAGGTCATAAGTTTCAGTAAAGATATATATGTTTAAGAACAATACTATTAGTCTCGTATTAGAAGAAATTTTCGAAAATCATAAAAGTGAGTAGACCATGAATCATTTTTCTAGGAAACTGTGCAACATATTTGTAATTTTTTTTTTGGGTAACAATTAGTCTTGGTATATAAAATGAACATCTTCGTATCGATTGTTGATCAAATCAGAAAAGGAAAGAAAGGAAGCTCTGTTGGAAGTTTAACAAATCTGTATCCATAACAATGTAAACCCAATTCTGTAAAATCTGATGCATTCAACAATAATTAACATTCCATAATATGACGAATTTTGATTGGAGCACTCATTGCAAAAATTCTTCAGTATCACAACCACAACACATTTTCAATAAAGAAAAAGATGCAGGTACCAGAAACTTTGTATCCAAAACGAATCACAAAAAAATAGAAATTGGCCACAACCTAGTAGAAATCAACAACTTACTTTTACTTTACATTCACGTAAAATGAAAGTAAAACATATATGACATACCAGGTATTCAGCACCCTGTGATTTTGTAAAACACCTATTAACAACCATAAGTACTTAATATAACCATTCCGTCATTACTGTGCTGCACAGTGTAAAATTTCCCCCGGATGTGAATTAACAAAAAAAAAAAAAAAACACCAAAAACTGCAGAGCAAAAGTTGGATGTTTAACATGTTGAAGTCATTCAGCATCCTCATTCCTTCTATTGACCGAACCTAAAGAAAAGAGAAAAAAAAAAAAAAAAAAAAAGATTAGTAAATAGGTAAGTGAATCACTCAGACACAAGTATATCAATTGATTCTCAATACCTAAATATAAACCATAGAAAGGTTTATACCTTGAGAAGATCTTCGTCGCCGCATTTTTCTCACGATAAATCTTGGTCGCCAGATTTTTCTTATGATATTTTTCATGATAAGTTCACTGAAGGGCGTCTCTGGGACAGGTAATAATTTCCCAAGCACCGCAAGAGGCCAACTGGTTCAAGTGAATAAAAGAAAAAGAAAAAAGAATGCAAATCATCAAATATCATTTCTATTAGAATGTTCATTTTTATAACCAAAAGTGCATAATATTATTAATTGGTTGAGAGAGAAGTAGTTGAATAAAAGCTTATGGTGATATTTGCAATACCTGTGCCAAGTTTTCACATTCCTATATCCCCTCCATGATTGCAGTTTAAATAATCAAATTAAACAAGAGCAATACTACTACATCGGAAGTATGCATATGTGGATCCAGAAAAGAAACAAGGGGCAAGGGGAAAGTGTAATCTATAATTTGTCATGTAGCATGCTCCAAGTACATCTCAGACGCTAGAAGAATGTCACTAATTAACTGCAACACATCAAAATTACAAGTAGTAATAAACTAACCTGATAATGCCAATTGCAATGGAAACAAGCCACAGTTTCCAGCTAAGCCTAACTGTTGTGGTAAATTTCCCAAGGAACATGATTATCATGACCTGATAAATAAAGACAAGAAGATATGTTAAACCATGTACGTAAAAACCAGCACACACACACACACACACACACACACAGACCTGAAGCACAAGAGTTAGGCCCACTATCCCCATGAAGAGACGGTTTTTAGTAACTCCTTTGAATACATTACGTTCGTCAGGCTTCCGAGCATTGAACTCATTGAAAATCTGCAAAATCAATGTTAGAAAGTTCTCCATCGGAAAAGGCGGGAAAATTTGTGATACAGCACATCCCAGGAAATCATATCAAGAACTTCACGTTTAAATGTAGGAGTTGCAGAACACCTAAGCCCAATTAAATTTTACCAACAAGACAAATTCGCAGTGTTACCACTCTCATAATAAGCTTCATTCATTGACCATAGCATCTGCTCCCAGAAAGCTTTTATATCTCGGATTGGCTCAGTTGACATTCAGTAAACAAAGTCTACCTTCAAAGCTAAAATTTACTTTATATTTTTCTTGCCATCTATGATTAAGCATTTGGATGTGAAATGAATATATTGACCTTAAAGTTAGGATGGTTAAGCATCTACCACAGAAGAAAGTGGAAAACAGGATCAATCTCATTATCCTGCTGCCTTTAATGCAGTGACAATGAGAACAAATTAGGACAACTTCATTATCCTGTAGTATCTGAAAAAGAGAGGAGCTATATGCACATTATCGGAGCTTGATAAGCTTACAGAGCCAGAATGGGTCGAGCACCACTCATCAAAAAATGGACTCAGACCACTTTGAACCATTGATATTCAACTCAAACTACAGCCTCAATTATGGAGCAATCCATATAAGATTTTGAACAGAATCAAAAGGCAGGATATCCCAAAGAGTATGCATTTAGTTCACAGCATTGCATACCAATAAATGGCAAATAAACATGTCATTTTCTATTTTCATTTCCTTTATTCAGGTCAAGAAACATACCTGACAAAGGACAAAAGCATTGAATATCAGTGTATTCTTCACTTTGTTGGCATACACACTGTCTTTATGCTCTAAACCAAGGAGGCTTTTACCTCGAAAGTTGAGAATAAGCAGGACAGTCACTTGATATAAAGCCTGTAATAATTCAACCACCACCAATTCTCGTCAATCATGAAGAATAATTTAACCAAAAAGAATTAATTTTTGCTCCCTCAAATTATGAAATTTCTATAGCAAAGAATAGTTGCCATAAACATAGATGTTCCTTCTTTATACACTTTTTAGAATTAGAGTTACACATTACTACTAATGTTGGATTCGAAAGAAAGAATACCTGTATTAGTAAGTTCCTCCACATGATATTTGTTATCAGAGGTTCCCTGAGAAAGATAAAAAAGCATAGTGATCAGTGGATCAGTGCTGTCTAATTATCAACCAGTGAACAAATAGAAGTAAAGAATAAAACATCAAATACATGAAGAAAAAAAAAAAGAAAAAAGACAAGAAGTTATAACATATGTGCCAATCTTATTTTAAAATGTGTACAGATAATGCGGAGAAGAAAACATACAGATTTGCCAAGTAAAGAGGCATCTTGAGTTTATCATATTAAGCGCATCATGGGAATTATCTAAGGATCTTCATGAAAAATTATGAAAATAGAGAGGTGAAAAAATTACTTTAAGAAGTTGTTAAATGAAAATTGTATGAGAAATTTACGATTAGAAGAATTTGATAGCTTTAGGAGGATTAAAGGAAACAATTTATTTTTTCATAAAGTCAGGATTTGCTAGGTAAACAACGTACTGCAAAAGAGAATAAGAAGAGCTTTATAACCATCCTTTTTATAGGATGATCATGTGTTGGACAACAAAATTGTTTAATAAGATCATAATAACAAATAAAGAAAAGTCTAATGAGTGTGTAAAAAAGATCCAGTACAAATATATAAAAAACATAAATAGGATACTCAATATCGTGGAAATTATAGAACTATTAAATTAATACATAGGAGAAGATATGAAGAGAAGACAGATATTTATATGGAATTTATAGATTTGAAGAAAGCCTGTGATAAGGTCCTAAAAATATAACATGGCAGATTTCAAAATAAAAATTGGTCACAAAGAAAGGCACACACATACACAAACACAGAGGGAGACCAGAGAAATAAATTTTGGAAACGAGAAATGTCCAGATACTTTTTTCCTGAAATTGCCCTACTATTTTGGCCCTAACCAAGGAACAAAAATGAAAAAAAAAAGAAAAAGAAAAGAAAAAAAAAAAGGGTATTTCTCAGTATTTATGTGGTAAAGAACTGCTTAATATAATATTATAGATAATGCGTAGAAAAGAAATCTATCATAATAAGTAAGTTTTTAAATATATAAAGAAATGCATAAAAAAAAAAAGTAATAAAGAAAAACTCAGATCAATCACAACTATCACATATAACATGCCTTCATCAATTAAATACATTGACCAATCTCCCTATTATAACTAAACATAAGAACTAACAATTACTTCATGAGCCATTGTATGTTCAGACACTATTTTTGACAAAAAATGAACATTGTTACAAAGATGAACATCTGGCCTTCCTTTTTTGCGTAGTGAGTTCTGTTCCAAAAGTATGTTATCAGAAGTCTCAGAAAAATTAACTAATAATTCAATTAGGTGATAGAAATGGTTTATCCCACATTTATTAATTACAAAAGTCAACAGTAAATAAAAGGCATTGGGAAATGGCCTAAAAAAAAAAAAAGGAATGCAAGAAGAGCAATAGTACTAAACAACCTGATAAAACATCTTTTAATATTTTTGCCAAAAAGGCTAAAAACTTTTTAAAAAATATGAGCATCAGACCTTTCTTCTTTGCAGTGAGTTCTGCTCCAAAAGCAAGTTATCAAAAGTATCAAAAAATTTTACTAACTCTATTAGTTGATAGAAATGGTTTGTCCCACATTTATTAATTAAAAAAAAGTCAACAGTAAACTAAATAACGGTTTCGGTCCGGTTTTGGGCTTAATCAGAAACAAACTGATCCCAACAGTTGCTAAAAAAATTGAACCTGGAAACGGACTGTTGGAACTGTGGAACCGAACCATAAAAGAATGGTTCGGTCTGGTTCTATCCACGAGTCTGAATTAGTAATGGAAACATATGCCATCATCATAACATGTGATTGCCTACCTGCTGGATTTTATAGTTTTATCTCCTATTTCACTTTTTTTCATATACTTTTTCAACAGGCATGAGATTTTTTTATTTTTAATTCCAGAAAGAAAGCAAGAGATTGAGACTCAAACTATGCAACGTAGTGACAAAAGCTCCGTTGGGTGCATGTATTATAAAACAAAGGAAAAACATTATAGATGTGAACAAATTATAATTTAACAAAAAAGTGACACCATTATAATATATATAAATTTAGTTAATGGTCTGATTCAGTTCTGATGGACCTCAAATGAGTCAAACCAGAACCAAACCGTGAGTTGGTTCTCTGTTTTTGGAACCGGAACCGGAACCGGACCAAATCAAAGCAGAACTGGACCATAGCTAGGATCATATCCATCCAATTTGCAAAAATAAATCAGACAACTTTTCCATTTTCTTTAAGCCTGATATTTTGAAATATGCTGTGTCCTGTGAAATATACATTAGTTCTAGACATGGACTTAAACCCATACCAATTCTTAGCCAGCTCTACGTTGGATAAGACTGAATCAAGATTAGATAAAAACGTCTATTCCTGCAATTTCCAAAATCTAAAGAGGTCTAACCTTCGACCCACTGGAGGCCTGTGCATCAGGTGATCCGTTGGTGGTTCAGTAGCCAGCGCTAGCGCTCCAAGAGTATCCATAATAAGGTTAACCCAAAGAAGCTGTACAGACAAAAAGAAGAGGACAATATAAGACAGTGACCCACATATACATACACAGAGAGACAGAAAGGCACACAAGGAGAGGAGAGGGAGAGAGAGAGAGAGAGAGAGAGGATACCTGCACTGCGTTTAATGGGACATCACCAGAGGAAATTGCAGCCACGACATTAATTATTAGAGCAGCAACATTAACTGTGAGCTGAAACTGAATGAATTTTTGAATATTCGCATAAACAGATCGGCCCCATCGAACAACCTGCATTTGACAGACAGAATCACTTATTTACGTTCCTAAATTCTTATTCTTTAATTTTGAGCTTCCAACTTATTCGAATAGAGACACTTGAATACAACATATGGATAAAAAATAATAATAATAAAATTGGCCTAGACAAGCAATTTCCTGGGTCTTAATCCCACTCAAGTGCATGTCAGAAGATCAGTATGGAATTGTGGATCCAAATCAGGATGGCTAAGCAATAAACTACTCTGAGATGTTGAAGGATAATTTCAAAGACCTCAACCACCAACCATCCATAAGAATCACATCTCTAAATGACCAAACGCTATACAATATATAAAATACTATAATTCTTTAAAAGATATTTCCTATACTGACCGTCCAAAATGCCTAGAGACAACTTGCATAGATATTAAGTTTCAGTAGGTCCTAGTATTGATCCTTGAGTGGTACAGTATGCAATTGTGCTAGAGAAAAGCAAAAGAAAAAAGTCATTACCCAGTTTATGTCCAACTGGGTAGAAATCACTACCTCGTTGATGCTATTATTGGGAACTCTCGTTCAAGAGACAAAACTTGGCTTTATTCCCCTTTCAAGAAAAGAAAAGAGGCACACCAAATGCTTCTCACAGAAACAAGATTCATCAAAGTGATCCTACCAACCTAATTACATCATACTAACCTTTACAACGGAAGCAAAATTGTCATCCAATATAATGATGTCTGAGCTCTCTTTGGCTACTTCCGTTCCTTGGATACCCATTGATAGACCAATATCAGCCTAAATTCCAAAGAAATTGCAAACCAATTTATGTGAATATATCAGAAATAAAGTTAATACCTTTTTGAAAGACAGATGAAACTAATAAGCAAAGAAAAAAAATGCCAGAACAAGCTGACAGTTGAAGTCCATCAACCTGACAAGGTGTTGCACATCTGTAAAACCTATAAAGTCTCACCATTTGTGTTCCATAGATTTTTTTTTCGAAGCAAACAATGTTCCATAGGAAATTTATTAAACAAAACTTGGGTGAAAAGTGGAAACTTTTTTGTATGAATCCAAAATGAGGGGAGGAAAATAGGGTACAAATGCAACAATTCTTACGGCTAACAATCAAGAAAAAGAATTCCCTAAGCTGTAGTTGTTGAACAAATAAGTTTACTGTTTCAAATTGACTGAGTAATATTGTTTCCAAGAGGTGAACATGTAAATGGAACACATAAACAATGGAACTTACATTTAAAAAAATATATAACTCATCTAATTGCAAAGATCAGATTTACAGACTTCTACCATCCATCCAACAAGTCCATCGTGATCCTACCATACCTCATGTAGTGCAGGGGCATCATTAGTGCCATCACCAGTTACAGCAACAACATGTCCCCTTTTCCTCAATGCTTGCACAAGCAAGAGCTTGTCGTTAGGAGAAGACCTTCCCATTACCTATGCATCAAATGGAAATTATTATTTATTTATTCATTATAATTATTGTTATTATTAATATTGGCTTTCTCGACACATTACACTTCAACTTCAAGTCTATGAACACATATAATAGTTTACATATATCGCAGTACAAATTGAGATAATACCGATATCTTCTCAGCAGTATCTAGTCTTTGCACTTCTGACAAGGCACGAAATGCCTTCCCTTCAATGAGATTTGGCTCAGTAGCATCTGCATCTGACCCCAGTATCCCGCATTCTAGAGCAATTGCTCTAGCTGTCTGAAGATTGTCACCAGTGACCATCCGTACCTGTACATCGAATTTTTTCCAACCAATTGTATCAGATACTACAATATACAAAACTATTAATACACATGCATATATTACCAAATCCATTAACTTATTTAATATGAGCAAGCTGAAAAATTGAAGAAACCTCCTAAGCCAATAAACAAATAAGAACTTCTTCTTGTCAAATATAAGCAATGAAAATCAACATATGGTGCCCAAGAAAGTATCTCCTCAAATGCTTGAGAAGAACAAGTTCAGTTAATCAAAAAAGCATCAAAACTTCAATGAGATAGAAGACTTCTTATGAAAAGCTTAATTGCATGTTGCTGTCAGTAACTTTTCTGAGAAAAGGTAATTTTAACTTGGTTTTAGAGCAACAAGAATATTAAATTCAATGTTGAAGACTGATAAAAAAAAAATGTTAACTCTGGGTAACGGGGTTCTGTTGCGTAGATGGATGTTCAGTGCCTAGGAAGATGAAAACCTAGAAACTGTATTAGGGTGAAAACCAAACTGACTTTAGGGGAATAGAGAGATGATGTACAGAACTGGGAGAAGTTTGTGGTCACTCATGTCCTCCCTTTCGTTGATGTTAAAAAAAAAAAAAAACATTTCAAAATTTGGTTAAATTTTGTTTCTTTCCCTTGAGAATAAAACTGATTGTAGAAACAAGATCTCTAATTGGGGAGAGAAAACCACACACAGTAAGATCGAGTAGAACTAGGGCTGCAAACGAGCCGAGCCTTTCACGAACTACTTGAACTCGGCTCGATATGGGATCGGTTCGTGTTCGTCTATTTATTAAACAAACCGAGCCCAAACAAAATTATTAGGTTCATTTATTAAACGAACCAATCTCAAACGTGCCTATGCTCAGTTATTTTATCCGTGAACTATGTAAAAATATGATATATATATCTGTAGGATTTAGCCCATAATATGGTTAATATTTTGTCTATTAAAGCCCAGCCCAACCCAATTAGTTTCACTATTTTAAAAAACACAATAAGTCAAGCCCATAACCATCTCAGCCCATCTTATGATTCTTATATATATTCCATCTAAACTAAAATCCTCATATTCACTCCTTACAACACAAACAAACTCTAGCCACACCAGTCCCCACCAGACACACGAAGCTTCTCTTCAGCAAGTCACAGCCCATCATCCAACCTAAAATCCTCATATTCACTCCTTAAAACAAACCCTAGCCGCACCAGTGCCACCATACAAACCCACCCTAGCCGCACAAATCTTCTCTTCCGCAAGTCACAGAACAGCAAAATCAAATTCACTCCATCAACAGTGCAACGAATTGAAGGCAAGAGTCGCTCACTCTCTCTTTCTCTCTCATCTTATTCCTAATCTGCACTCACCACTTTCCATCCGTATCATATGGCATCACTGGTAGAATTGTGAGTGCCTTTGGATGGCACAAACTTTTGGAGATTGGAGATTGGTACTGAAGATCAAAACTGCCCCCAACCCATTGAAACAATTAGGAACGACATATACACACATATTGTATACATATCGGCAAATTGCATAATATATAGCATTGTTTGTAACGTGAACCAACTCAACCGAGTTCGAGCGCTGAGGTTGGAGCTCGAGTACTTCTACTGGAGGCTGAGCAGAGCACAAACAGGCCACTACTTGGCTCGGCTTGGCTCGTTTGCAGCCCTAAGTAGAACTGTAAAATTTGACCTAAATTTAAAGGAAAATGTTAGTACGGAGGACAACTAGAGCTGCACCAGCCAGAAGAACATTGCCAAATTGAAATGCTAACACAACGAGCATGCCAACCGCAATGTGGCGAATGTGACTCTCCATTTAGGGCATCAAGCTGTAAACTGCAAAGGAAACACCTTGACAAACACCCTATCACAAAGGCCATAAACCCTAACGTGGTAAAAGTCTGTAGCCAATAGATAAGATTGTATTCATTCATTCAATGTGTTGTTCAGCATCTGAACGAGATCGTCTAATTTTCCTTGTTTTGTTTTCCATTCAAAATGTCTCATCTCTTTACTGCTTTGTGATTGTACATTTTTACTTGATTGATTGATAGGTTAATCAATAAATGAAAAGTGAAAATTTTAATAATAACCGAACCGGAAAAAGTGAACAATTGACCCCCTTCAAAAACTGTTATATGAGATTACATACGTTACTCCAAACATCACTTTGGCATAATTTAAAGAGATACTTCTGTGATTCCATTGCTCCAAAGTTGTCTTCGAATGGCAATGCCATCAGAAACCCCTGCCCCTCCATGCAAAGCGGTTTAAGGAATAACTGGTTTGCAGTTGACTGGGTCAATGAGAAATTGGTTAAGGGAGAAAATAGATGAACCTCGCAAGGCCTTATGTTCAGGCTGATTTTTTTTGATAGATCTTATGTTCAGGCTAATTGGGTCAAAAAGAAACTAGCCAAGATTTGATTTGCAGTACATAGCCTTGGAGTTAACATCCAAACAATGGAATGGAAAAATAATGGTGTGACGTATCACCAAGCTAGTGCCTTGAGGATGGCTTGTAATTATTTTGCTAATTTTGCTTATTTATATAAAAATTTGTAGTCTTCCCATATATAATAAATTTTGAGTAATGAAACAGAAGCAAATGATTGACAAAAGGAAGGTAATATCTTCATCAATTTGAATAAACAGGTTGAAGAGCCTCAGCTGCAAAATCAAGGAGAATGGAGTGCCTGAGTAAGTTCTCTTCCAAAACCAGTTGGCCCAAGGAACAAGAGAAGCTGTTCTGTATAAGATCAAGGGAACTCTAAGGTCCTACAGATACTTTTAGCAAAGTTATTATGTAAGTGGCTTCTGCCTGTCCATTCTCTCTAAAGATAATGATAGGGTGTAGAATTATAATGAGTAATGTTTTAAGATGCAAGAAGTCATCTGAAAAGTCTGGAGATAAAAGGGTCTGATGGGTATCATTCTGTGATAGAATCACCTTAGCAATACAGAAAAGACGAATTAAATTTTCAGACACAAAATTAGAAAATGTTGAGCCAGTTGCTCATCCCAAAGTCGATAATCCGGATGTCACCTTTCGCAGCCGACAAGCAACACGAGCTTGAGCCAGTAAGATACAACGTCCAAGAGTAAGAAGCAGGCACGGATCTATTGAGGGCTCAGTGAGGGGTGTCCGCCCCCACTGAATTTTTTTGTTTCTGTATTATTACCCAAAAAATTTTGAAATTGTCCCCACTGAATTACAGATAAACCCCACTATATAAGTTTGCCCCCCCATCGCATAATTGTTCACAGATTTTATTCCCCCAGACACTCAGTTTTTTGTGACAAATTGAGGATCATCTAAATTCCGTACCAACAAAAAAGCAGGTGGCATGTAGAAAAACCCTCTACGGACGACATGTCCTAGTGAAGAAAGAACCATGGAATTGTCAATGTACCCAAACAGTCTTAGAAGTAAAGAGTTCTCCAAAAATAGTTGATATACTTGCCTTCAGTCCAAAAGAGAATATACAGTATTACGCTATGATTTGTTTCTAAATTCCTAACATGTGGACAATCTTGTTAAAGCATTACTGCCTCTTTTGCCATCACATGCTAATCATATCCTTCCCATTGCATCCGGCTATAAAGGTTAAAATCACCATTACCACAAGACTTTTTATGATAGGATAGAGGTAGCCCTTCATCATGTTTGAAAAAGATAGTGAAGAGAAAGAAAGGAAATGATTGTTTTATTCTGTGAGTAGCAAGGGAAAAACAGAAATTCACTTGCTTTAAAAAATAGGGGCAAAATGGGTAAACACCAACTCTCCTATTCTTTACTCCCATGGGAAGGACAGCAAAATCACTATTCAAAGGGTTAGGGTATCCATCATCCTCCCAAACCCAAACCCTCTCCTCTCTCTTCTCATTTGTAAAATGGATACAAACTTCTCCTTTTTCTCTCTATTATTCCCTCAATCCATACGAGACCTTATGCAAAGCAATGGGTGAGGACCCCACAGGTCGATAGAGGAAGAGATCCCCTGCACTTTGAAGATCTAAACCTTCATAAATACTTTTCGAGGATCTAAACCAGCATAGATCCTTAGGTACAACAATCCCCAGATCAAGGGGAGCGAGGGTACAAGGGTAGTGGTTTACATAATCAACTGTCAGTGGCAAATTTTTTGAGAAGACAATTTTTTAATACACCGACATGAGAAAGAAAAGATAAAGCCGTAGTCATGCTGGTGGGCACAGAATGGCATCCAACAAGCAACCATGTTACTGATCCATGATGAAGAACATAATCATAAAGTATATAAAGCACATAAACCATTCACCTTCACAAATTCTATATGTGCTCAGTATCATAAATCAAAAGTACAAAACATACCTTAACACCAGCATCGGTGCATAATTTAACTGCCTCTCTCACACCAGGCCGACAAGGATCCTGTGTTAAAATATATACATTTATGTGAAAATGACTCTTTTTCTTTTATTGGGTAATACGTAACGTGAGAGTATTAAGTGTTTATTCAAACAATAATATTACAGAAATAAAAAGTATAATGTTCAAATGGCACACTGAAGAGAAGAGAACACTATAACTCACACGACACAAACTAAAAGAACATTGGATTAGGACTTGTGTTGGCTTTATTAAATATGCTGTCAAGTGCAGTTAAGCAAGTGCAAATATCCATAGAGTAGCAAATTGAAACAAAATAAAGCTTACAAAAGATGTTAAATAAATTATTACATTTACGCATCAACTAAAATATGAGGTCTACTCTTGTATAAAAACTGAGATTTGAATTGATTTGAAAGAAATGGAGTAATGAAATGAATAAATCTGTTTCTTTTATCAATAATGTTTTACAAATTTACCCAAACAAACTGTACAATTTCTATGTCATCATGATATATTCCAAGTAGAAAACAGATCCAAACAAAAGTGTGTCCAAACAAAAAAAATTGGAATCATGACCAAAACCACAAATGTATTCCAAGTAACACATCAGACTTTTGAACCTTAAAAGCACAACAAACATCTTCGTCAGTGAAGGCAAATAGTAGAGGTATTTCTTGGAAAAAGTAGTTATTATATTACAGAGAAAGACCATATTGTTGTCAAAAGCTTTTATAGCATTCTTTCTTACATGAATTGCATGATTGTGACTCATAATTATACCCGTATATTGAAAAAAAAAAGATAAATATTGACCAAAAACTGATAAATAAATAAATAAAAATTACAAAAAAAAAAAAAAGAAAAAGAAAAAGAAAAAGAAAAAGGAGGAGTGCATTAGAACAATTCACAACAAATCGAAGTGCAAAAGAAAAGCTCCTAGTAACTCAAATATGAAAATCACTTGATAAACAATATATATACATATATACACACATACATATGAAGATAATTTTTTCAAAGAAAAGGTAAAAAATCAAGATCATCGGCCCATTTTGAAATAATAACAAATTGCAATCCAGTTACAAATTTTGAATTTTGCACTTTGCAAGCATATCGATCAAAGGAAGAATAATACCTTCAAACCAACAATAGCTAACAACACAAGGTCATCGTCAGGTATTTTCCAATTAGTCAGGCCTTCATCATCAGTTGGAACTTTTTCCACGTCGTATGATCTATAAGCAATAGCAACACAACGCAAACTTCGAGCCGCCATATCTTCAATAGCATTTTTAAATAAAATCATCTACAGAAAAACACAAATTTCAAAACCAGGATCAGCTATATATCATACATTAATTAAAGGACAATATGTACGCAAGACATAATGTTAAATCAAGATTCAAGAACCATTCTATTTTAGGATTTTTTTTTTTTCAAGTTTTATTAACTGATAAAAAACCTTCAACTAACAGAACAATCACCTTTCTTCTTTTAGGTAAGTGAATAAAAAATTATTTTTTTGAGAAGCAAAACAGAAATAGCTTCAACCAAAATAAGAGGCCAAAAAGACATAAAAAATTAATAACTCATTGATAACATAAACAAATGGAATCTAAAATTCATTTCAAGTCCAAGAAAGCCTCAAATTTTTAACCATTACTGCTAAACACAATTTAAAATCTTGAAAAGAGTGCTTTTTTCCAACCTTATCATCATCCATTGGAACAACGCTATCATTTAAATCAATGTATCTTGTACACGAAGCCAAAACTATTTCCGCAGCACCTTTCCAATGAATATGAACTTCAGATTCAGGCTGTAAACAATACAGAAATAGTATGAGTAACACCATAATTGTATTGTTGCAAGGGCAGAGTATGACTGGTATGAATATCTTTAGAATTCCACAACTTCCATGTAACATCATTATTATTTCTAACTGGACCACAGATATATTTTACAGCATTTAATACCATTGTTTTTTTTATCACAATGCATAATACCATAGAATCATTGCAATAAAACATCTGGTATTCAGCCAGGTTACTTTTCTAATACAACTACAATCTCTATCAAAACTCAACATTAGGAGTTTCAACATAATGACAATTTATAACACTTGTCAATAATCTTATTTTCACATTCAACATGATTATCTACAGTTTATTGATTTCCTAAAATTAAATGCAAAAATACAACTACTCCGTCACTTTTCTAACAGACCTAAGGTAGGAGTGTCAACACTCGGCAGATACTTAATTAACTATAATACAAAGGTAGATGAGTTGGTCAAGACAATGGCTTAAGAAACAAACATCTCAGGTTCAAATTTCTCCCAGGTAGATGAGCTGGAAGACGTGTCATCTAATCCTAATGCACACATAAATGCAACAAGAGTTTAGTTATTTTAGTGTTGCCCAATATCTTTTCATCCAACCAATCTTATGTTTACTATTTCAGTGTTGGCCATATATTTGAAAAAAAAAAAAAAAATTCCATATCAGCAGATGCCCAATTATCTAACCTACAAAGGCAGGTGAGATGGTCAAGGCAATGGCTTAAGAAACAAACATTTCAGATTCGAATTTCTCCCGGACTTGTCACTTATCTAATGCAAGTGGTCTAGTGGATGATGTTATCTCACACAAATTTCAGTTTCTGGAATTTCAGAAGGGGTAGAAACTTGTGCAACCAGAAACATGTCGTTGAGAAATGCACCAAGTATTTTTTTCATTGTTTACTTCTTTTACTGTTTGCCCAATATCTTCTCAACCAACCAATCTTCAAATGTTCAATATTTTTCAGTGTTGACCAAAAAAAAAAAAATCTAGATATGCTCCAAGCAATCATCTGACAAATAACCTCACTAATCATGAGAAAAAACCAGCTCTATTCAATTCATGACTTTCTTTTCACTCGTTAATTATCTTAAAAATTCACTCAAAAAACCAATTCCCTCTTGAACTATTTTTCTATTTCTTCTCCTAGTCACCTCCCAGTGTTTGAAACATAGTTGTTAAAGGCGCACCAGGCGTGCGCCTCGGGCGCCAGGCGCATCAAGGCGCAGCTTCTGCGCCTTGAGTATGGTGAGGTGAGCCTTTGTCTTCTTCCTTTAATTTTTGCCTTTTAAACATTTGTTGTATTCAGAATTTCAGACTTTACATTCTTCTTCTTGTATAATAAATTCTGATGTGATAAAGTAACTTTAAATGGTGGGTGGTCCCTACCACTACCACCAAAAAAGTTAAAAGACCAGTCCAAATAAAAAAGTAAAGGAACCCAAATTAGGCTCAATTGTTCTACGGGAGCTATGGGTCTCTTTGTCAAGCTCTCTCACTCTCCGGCAAGCTCTTTCTCCGGCAAGCTCTTTCTCCGGCGAGCTCTCTCTCCGGCAACCAGGTAACCATTTATTCTCTTCTTCTTCTTCTCTGTTTTTTTTTTTTTTCCTTCTTTCTTCCCTGATTTCTTTTTTCCTTCTTCTTCTTCTTCTTCTCTATTTTTTTTCCTCCTTTTTTCTTCTCTGTTTTTCTTTTTTCCCTTCTATTCTTGCTTTTCTCTCTGTCTGTCTTCTTCTCTGGCAACCAGCGTCTTCTTCTTCTTCTTTTCTATTTTTTTTTATTTTGTCTTTCTTCTCTGTTTTTTTTTTTCCCCTTCTTTCTTCTCTGTTTTTTTCCCCCCTTCTTTCTTCTCTGTTTTTTTTTGTTCCTTCTTCTTCTCTGTTTTTCTTTTTTCCTTCTGCTCTTGCTTTTCTCTTTTTTAATTATTTATTTATTTTAGCTATCAATTATCAACATGCCTGTTAGTTTTTCATCTGGAGTGTGGCCTGTGAAACGCTGCTATTTTAGGCTTTTTAGCTATGAAAATGCATGCCTGTAACGCCTGTTATTGTTTCCTAATGTTGCTATTTTAGCTATGAAAATGCATGCCTGCTATTGTTTCCTTTGGACTGTGGCCTGTGAATGCCTTTTTTTTTTTCTTTTTTCTTTGCTGTGAAAATGCCTGTTGCACTTTTTAAGTGATGATCAAGATGGTGCTATGTTTATTGATGATGAGGATGATCCGATGATATTTAGATCATTTGGTGGTCTTCTTAGGAGTTAGGATGAACTGATGAAGTGAACATTTCTATGTTTGTTTTACTTTTTATTTAATTAGTTGATTTTTGCATCTTTATGTTAGTAATTACTATGTTACTATGTTGACTATTGAACGCCAATATTTGGTTTAGTTTGCTTTTGCATCTTTATGTTAGCATGTTGATTATTAAACTTATGTATTTGGTTTACATGATTTTGCATCTTTATTGGATGTTATTTTTTATTTTTTTTTCTCAACTTGCGCATCGCTTCAGTCGGGCGCGCGCCTCGCCTTGCGCCTTGCGCCTTAGGCTCCAAGGCACCTTTGCGCCTTAGTGCGCCTTGAGCCTTTAACAACTATGGTTTGAAATAATGAAACCATAAGCATACAACCAATAAAATCAATCTCCAATGTGACAATAAAAGAAAAATACAAGTGTAATGTTGAAGCAATATGATTTTTTGACCTAAAGAAAGCAATTCATTTACCAGTTTAAGGGCAACACCCCCTCGTTTTTTCTCTGAGTTGAAGGGGAAAACATGGACAATTGAAGACTCTGATCTGACAGCATCAAAAATCATTCCAAGCTACAAAAAAAATTAAGACATGGAATTAAATCACTTTTTTATATTAAAAAAAGAAAAAGAAAAGTGCAATAAAGTAAAAAAATTAGCAAAACGTACATTGACCCCCCACTGGAGAATGGCCTTTTCTGTTGGTGATCCAGAAATCTCCACATCTCCACCGCCCTGTCAAACATCAACAAGAGCAACATGATAGAATCAAATGCTTCAAAAATTTTAATGATAAGAAAAGACTTAACAAATATCATATACCATAAAACGGGACAATACCAAACAGGCACACAACAGTTCCAAGATCACAGTAAAAATGGACCGCAATTACTTGCTCTAATTGCTGGATTGGGCCTCAGTTATAAAAGCCAGCGGAATAGCTAAGAAACAATTAATTACGTAGGAATGACTAATAAGGACCAGAAAAATTTACATCTAATATTTAGTCCCTTGAAACATGCAAGACCTTGTAACTAATTAACCAAGTACAGGGAGCAAAAATGCATGCAACATCAACATCAGCTAAACGACATTTCACTTGCATGCACTAATTTATATATTTGAGAGAGTATTTTTTAAATGCGTAAAGTGCAAAAAAAAACCCGGCTACGTAAAAACTGTGAAAAAAACGTCCCTGCTATTTAGTATGCATAACTGCATATAAATCCCTAACATTTAAAATGTAATGACAAACAACCAAAAAACAATCACACGACAAAGACAAGCACGCCACACACAATGAACACAAAGATTTAGCTTGGTTCGACACAAGTTGTGCCTATGTCCACAGTGAAGTTCCCACAAAAGCTTTCACTATGCGAAAATCAGGACATTACAAGTTTCAGCCCCCAAACCCTAGCTCTAGCTTTCAGCATCTTTTCTGCAATTTTGAGTCTCTAAATATCCCACCACCCCAAACTGCTACAAGAGAGTACCGGTCCATGACCTAGAACCAAATTTAGGCCACATCACATAAAATATTTGCAAAATGCCCCTTGGCCGTCAATTTTGACCAGTATTTTTTTTATTAAAACCCCAAAATACCATTAATAATCAGTGTTTTACGAAATCAGTATTTTTTATTTTTATTTTGTCTCAAGGGCATATTAGGTATTTCAGTCTTCAAATTGACAAAATGTCCTTATTAGCTCAATTCGAAAAATGTAGAGTTTTTTTTTTTTTTTTGAACACCAGGGTATATAAGAGGTTTTTTTTTCACACTTTACCCATGTAAAATAATTATCTCTTTCCTTCCCTTCCACTAAACCAAACTAATTATCTCTTTCCTTCCCTTCCACTAAACCAAACAAAACAAGGATAAACATTCTCATATCCCTAGTGATGCCTCTTCTATCCCTCCTCCACTCCCTTCCACTTATTTTTCCTCTCTCCCACCAAAATGGGGGATAATCCCTTTATACCAATAATGAGGAACAAATAGGTAGAAAACCTACACATATAAGAAGGATAATTAGGAGACTTTTTACATTGAACAAGTAATCTCATCCGCATACAACTCATAAGCCAAGGCTATGTCAACAGAGTACATTATATGCCTTTCTTAAGTGTACATCGGGGTGCGACCAATTTACTTCCATGACCTGCTTAGTGTAAGTTATATTTTTTGCATAATCCCAAAAGACTGACCTACATTAAAAACATATATCAAACTATAAGCAGTGATGTGCTCATTCAATAAAATTGTATAACAGTGTTTCCCACCAAATTCTCCCAAGTATGCTACAGCAACACAAATTTTTTGAGCAACGAAGTCTATTTTCCTCAAGTAACTCAAGTTCCAAATAAGTCTAAAAAATCCAAAATCAATTGTTCTTACTCGGTTCTCATATTAACTTCTACAATATTGCGGAAAATTTTAAAACGATAAAAATCCATTAGAATCTTAAAATGTTGTCCTCCACTGCCTATAATTTAGAGTCATTTTTAACTTCATCATTTATCCTATCCTAGTCCAAATCAAGAATTCAGTTCATTTTCAAATTTTTTTTTTTGGTAAAAGCATATCAATAATTCCAAGAAATGTAAAAATCTTTATCCTTGGTAGAATATATATATATATATACACACTTTCCAAATACTTTAACAGTGCAAATGTTGAATGGGATTCTTCAAGTGCTTTTTGTATAAGCCGCATCAATTTCATATGAACATAGACGAATCGCTGCAATAATAAAAAACAAAAAAACCTATCCAAGGAACAGCTATCATTTCAACCTGCACTAAGATATGCCAATAATACAAATATCAAATTATTGGTCACAACCCATGTATAGGGAAATTTGTTAATGTGAGAATGATGCACTCATATTATAATTTTCAACTTAAAATCTCTAATTATCAATGCAGAAAGTTCAAGCTAAATGACAATAAACTCCAATCAAACAAAATCAACACTTTAACTCTTTCACCCACCTCAGTCATAAATACACTCCCAGTTGTATTCTGTGCTACACCTTCAATAAGCAGCGATTTAACGGTAGGGGGCAACCGCGACCTATCGTTCGGAGAGTCAATTTTACTCCCACCAACATAGGCCTCCACCACAGTCATCTGTAACAGAAGAAAAAATTTGACAATTAGAAAAAAAGACATTTCTCTTAATCTTCTTGCCACTTCCCCTCTTCCATCCTAAAAAATAAAACGCAAACAAAGAAAAAGAAAAAAGAAAAAAAGAAACCCTTCTCGATCCTCTAAAACACCCACTTCCATTGATGGTGAGTTTCAAGTAACACAAACCAACTAAACATCAACTAACAAAAAAAAAAAAATACCAATCAAAATAATAATAATAATAATAATAATAAATAAATAAACAAAGAATGTCTAAACATTCAATTGACATCAACCTCCAATTAACCAATAAGACCTAGAAAGATATGATGTCGAATATCATCTTCTTGGGACATCCCAATTTCTTCAAGCCAAAGCACTAAAGCACTTAACGAAGAAGACAGTTACACATTGCAAAGATCCTTCTCTAAGTGAACTCAAAAAATAAATAAAAAGAGCGCTCATTGACAAAAAATTGAAACCATGAAGTGGACACAAAAAAATCTAATTTGGAATAGTAGCGAAGCAAAATACGTACTCAAGAATTAACATAATCACCTGATTCAAAGTCAAAGTCCCAGTTTTATCGCTACAAATTGTAGTTGCAGAGCCCATGGTTTCACAAGCAGAAAGCCTCCTGACCTGCAGTCCAGTAGTTGTAAAACCATAAAATAAATGCACATCTGTATCAATGTCATTACCAGAAAGAATCGGAAAGAAAAAAAAAGAAAGATAAAGTGATGCATACCAAGGCCTTGTCTGCCATCATTTTTCTCATTGAGTAGGCAAGTCTGTAACACAATTATAGATGCAGATAATGTAAGTTAAAAGAAAATTATTGAGAAGAGATGAAAAATACACATGGACAAACAAACACAAAGAATGCATCGTTAGAGGCAGCATAAACTGAGAACTTGGGAAGAGCAGGCTGAGATGAGTTGGGCATGTGCAGAAGAAACTAATGTGGCACCAGTAAAATATCTTTAAAATGACATAGAAAGTGGTTATCAACAAAAAAGACCTGCAAAAAAATCTTCAGAAATATGTATTCATTTCAATGGATGAATAAAAGACAAAAGATAATGCCATGAAAGCAGAAATGAGTTGAAAAAGAAAGAAAAAGCCCCAAAAAGAATACATAAAGCCTACTTGGGTAAGGAAACCCAGGGTCTTACAATGCTGAAGTATGAATTATGGTCAGCTTAACAAAGCTGCCCGCGGGGGGGAGGGGAGGGGACTTACGTTAAAGTAACTGCCAAGGGAAGTCCTTCAGGCACTGCAACCACCACAATCGTGACCTAAAGTTCTTCTGGCATTAGTCATAAACTCGACTAAAATTAAAACCAACGCACACAAATATAACAAAATTTCATTTTAAAAGTGAACATACCGCAACAGTGAAAATCTTTATAGCACCATCTATGGCATCACCGAATTTAGTCTGGCCAGGTGTAAATGGAACACTTCCATCTGGATTTTTAGTATGCCCAGTAAAGTATCTGCAGATACTCAAAAATTTATAAGCTTCACATATCAAACACTTTATAAGAGTGAGGAAGGGATGGAGGGAGAGAAGAAAGGTATTTTTTTCTCCAAAAGGGGCGGGGGGCAAAGAACTCATCAAGTAAAATCCGATTTACCTGACAAAAAGGACAACCAAAACAAGGAAAGCTACTGCCAGTCCAACGATACCAATAAATGTTGCAACACCATTTAAACGTACCTATAGTAAGTCATTCAAAAATAGTCTTTTCTAGTCAGTTACTCAAAGATGCTTCATAAAGTGTAGTGTAGTGTAGTGACAAAAAAAAGTTGCATGGTCAGGCTAACTTATATAGAACAGAGCGTTGGGCAATTAAAAAAGAAACAAGAAAAATGCATTCATGTGGCTGAAATGCGGATACCATGATGGATGTTAGGGGTGGCAAAAGTTGACACAACCCGCCAACATGACTCGAACACGACACGAGTTAAATGAGTTTGGGTTGACCTTAAACGGGTTCGGGTCATAAAAAGGTTGACACGATTAACCCGTTTAGTTAATCGTGTCGTGTTTAGGTTGAGGGGTTCAACCCGTGTAACCCGTTTATACACATTTAACTATATATGTCGTAAAATTACTATACAAACTTGTGTCTTATAATTTAATCTTTTGTAAACTATAAACTATTTAGTAATTTGGTTGATTAAAACTTATATTTTTTTTAGTATTTATTATTTTATTGAGTATTATTAATAATTTAAATAATATAATTTTTTTTTTTTTGTAAATAGGTCATTAAACGGGTTACACTTGTAACCCGTTTAATAAACAGGTCGTGTTAGTGTTGAGAGTTCCTAACACGATTATTAAACGGGTCGTGTTCGGGTTGAGCTATTTAGTATAATATCCTTAAGTTGACACGACACGATTACGACCCGCGAACACGAATTGCCACCCCTAATGGATGTTAGGAGTAACTAGAAGAGATAGGTTAATAATCAACGTGAAAGAGAGATATTAGGAGTGGCGGCTATTAGTGAGAACATAGGAGAAACTAATTTAGGTACTATGAACATATTCAACGCAAACCAGTAGATGGCGAGTGAGAAAAGGAAGATTGGTTCTTGTAGACATTAAGAAACAAAGAGGTAGACCAAAACTAACATTGAATGAAGTAAAAATAAATGATTTTACAAAATTAATCTAATGGAAGAAATAGAATATGATATATGGGTTTGGGGGGGGGGGGGGGGGGGAAGAGCTGACCACGTTCATAGGGGATAAAAGGCAAGGATGACGATGACGATAATTTAAAAAGACAAACCTGCAATGGTGTTTCTTCACCAGAATCTTCTGAAATACTCGCCATTAGCAACCCCCATTCTGTATTTATTCCCACACTAGTTACCTAAAAAAAATTGAAAACCTGTAAGTTAACATAATTTAGCAAATAAAGTAAGCTACACACACAAAACATAGAAACTATAATTTATTAATAAAATAGGAGTTATTCAACATTGCGATTGCAATTTTTACTGTGTCGATTGCAAGCCAATTGGGCAACAAACAACATGGTAGGCTATCAAAATGACATACAGAAGAGATGTCAAAGAAGGTAACAATTTGAGTTCTGATGGGAGGAAAAAAAGAACAGAAAAGTCAAAACAGTAGACACCAAATGGTGTCATTCTGAATCCTTCAGACTTCCTTTATTCAGCAATCTTTTGCTATTACAGGAATTAAGTCTGTCCTTTGCTAGAGAACTCAATAATCTTTATATTATTGGTCGTGATGTATAACCTCTAGACCAACATGGAATGAAGTGATAAGAAATAACTTTAAAAAATTAAATCTAGTAGGAGATATTGCTTATGATAGAAAAGAGTGGAAAAAAAGAATCAATGTGGCCAACCCCATTTGTATGGGTTAAACGCAAGGATGATGATGATGATGTACCTCTAAACAGGACTGTTTTTTGTATCAAATACATATCTTATGCAGATACCAGTGGATCCTAAGTTCCCAGTACAGGTTTTTCACATTATATAATTATTTGCTACAATTTTGCTTTTGAATAATATAATGATGCAGTCTTGATTCAGGTTCAAATTAGACACACAACTATATATTTGCTTATTAATCAATTTCTACAGCAGTCATAACCCTCACAAATGCATTTGCAACACTACTTTACAGTTAAAAGACATGTTAACTTCAAAAAACGCCAATGATAATCACAATTCACAAAAGTAGGAGCAAGAGGGAGCAAGCAGCAGTAAATGAAACAAAACTTCACAAGAATTTTTACCAGCATAAATCCATAACCATCTGCAACTTTGCAGCCAGACATTAGAAATGGTGCTTTCATATCTTTGTGAACCTACAGAAAAGGAGATCATGCTAGAGAACTAAGAAAACAAAAATTGAAATTACAACATAGCACACCATATAATAGGTTATAAAGCTTACAATCTTGCTCTCTCCAGTCATGCTTGATTCATCAAATGCAAGAGAGTGAGCAGAAATTAGAACACCATCAGCAGGGACCTGGGGTAGGATTGAAGTGGAAAAGTAAGTAAGCTTGAAAATGCAAGGGTCAAACACAGAAAAAACAAGAATTTGTTCCATTCACCTGATCACCAATTTTAAGAGGCACGACATCACCAACAACAAGATCAAATATTGAAGCCTCAACCCTTCTACCACCTCTAATGACCTGTGTATGCATATCTTTAAGAGTGAGGAAAAGAAAAACATTGTAGGTCAATGACATCGCCAACCAGCAGAAATCGTACCTCCAAATGTATATTCTGCTTCTCTTCGTTTAGAGATTGGAACTGAAGGGATTGTTTATAATCACTTGTCGCTTCAGGATGGAAAAAATGAAAAATGAAAAGTCAAGAATTCAGTACAATGTAACAATATTTATGTTTCAAGATATGTATGCATATCTACATGGCATCATGGCCAATACAATACAAGATGCAAGCATAGAGAACATTTTCCGAATGGCCTCAGCAAGGATAACTGATAATGAATCAAATATGCAATGGTGGTGGTTTTTTGTGCAGGCCAATTCTTGTTTGGAGTTTCTTTATGACCACCAAAGACAACAGGCCTCAACTTTAAGTACTAATCAATAATCACACGACAATAATTCCGTAACAAATTTAATTTTTACCAAAAACAAAAACTAATAATAATAACAACAGAAGAATGCCGATTTCAGTATTCTAGAGAAGATGTAAAAAAAATACATATAGAAAAGATAATAGGTAATTATATCAATTTGAAACTAATGACTCACTAGAAATGGGTTAACAGTTCAATATTTAACCCAAGTGACCAGAGCATGGAGTGAGAGCAAACTGAGTGAAAATTTTACTAGTGGTATGATTAGGTCTAGAGAACCATATTATTTATGAAGGCAAATAGGTACACATACACATAATATACAGTCAACATAATATTAAAGTCAAAAAGATAAGAACAGGTATGGGGTTGGTAGCTGAAGGGAAGTATTGGAGTGAGAAGGGTGTATTTCAAAGGAAGTTACAATAACACATGCAATAGGACTTGGAAGAGCACAATGCCAGTGAAAATCTACTTCTGTAGATTCACGGTACAAAAAAATACTAAAATTTTGTAGTTCAGGGGCTAGAAAGATGAAAAAAGATAGTAAAAATTTTGAACTGAAAAGGGTCACATTTGGCTCAGATTTATGGTTTCAAAGGACAGGTTGCTAGATTTTCAAACTTGTTTTGGTTGATTAGATGTTTTAGGGTAGGAATTTTGTCGGGGTGTGGCCAGGCAACGGGGCAGTTTGGGTGCCAACCCCATCCCCGTTTAGTAGAGCTCCCCCCATCCCAGCCCAAAACCATCTATTAACAAAGCGGGACAGGGGAGGGGCTGGGGTAGGTTTAGGATAATACTCCTGTAATTGTATTATGAATCTAACAAAGTTAAATAGTGAAACAAATTTTCAACTATGATAATAATTCCTTTTCAACCAGAAATCCCTTGATAATGATGCCTGTCAACCAGTTAAGAATGATGACGATGAACCTTTTTTCAATGACTACTAATATATGTCCATTACTAATTATTGCATTACAGGGACAATGTATGGTAGACTTGTTAGGAACCATAACAATGAAGGACCATTGCATAGACATCAAACCATCAATAAATGCATAAACCTCACATTCAATATAATTATGAAGTAAATTATTCAAGCCCATATAAATTATTCACATACAGAAGATTGAAAAATATAAAGGTTGATGCATACAAGAGTCTGGATAACGTACACATGTAAAACTACACAATATTGATACTATTCAAATTAAAGTGGCAAATACCTGTAACAATTATAACAATGATAACTGCTATCGCGATGCTTCCCCCATCGTACCATCCTTCCTTAATACCCTACAAGGGAAAACTTAATTCAGAGACATGAACCGATATTAATTAATGAATCATTGTTTGAATTATACAAAAAGAAACCTTGCACAATACAGTGGATTAAAAGGGGGGGGGAGTGGGTGGGGGGGTTGGTTAACAAGAGTTTACCGTATAAAACAATAACTTATAAAGAGAAGGTAGGGTAGGAAGCTCCTAAGTAAATGTTAGCCAACGCACACTATAAATTGTTGGCCAATTACTTCAGAGATTACATAAAACAATCTCCCACATTTATATTTCAAGTAAGAACACGTTGAAGAACTGGGACAGGTAGTTATTCTTTTCATTTTATTTTTGCCCGTTAATTGCAACAATGTGACAACTGGCATCTAAAATTACCATTTCTAGAATGAAAATATAAAAAACCTACTTTTACATTCTTCAATAACAGTGAGAAGAAAAATAATTAAATTTGAACTACATCATTTTTCAAAGATTACAAAGATGAGCTTTAATTTTCACCAATTACTTATCAAATCAAACTTTTCTCCATTGCATGTGTTTCTACGAAGATTTCATACTTCTTGACCTAACAACAGAATTTACTAAAGAATCTGCCCACAGACCAGGGTTATCAGAATCAGACTTGACACATTGACCCAATGATGGAGCAATTCACCGGGTAACCAGACCAACCATTGGGACAGTTTGAATATTATATTAATATATGTAATTTAAGATTTAACATAATAATTACTAATGTATGGCACCAGATGCATAGAAATACTGATTGTAGTAAAACTTGTGAACAAAAGAGTGGTAGTTCAGTGGCTATAGATTCTGCACACGACTACGGATGCCAAGCTTCAAGTTTCCTTAAGCGCTCAACCCCATGTTTTCTGCAATGGGAAACAGGAAGGAGCAATCACTTGAAGCCAATTTATTCACTCTGGTTTGACAGAAATCCGACCTTCCCACTCTGCTCCGTATTTTTCACTAACCAAATTGGTTCAGTGATTGGTCCACCAATTCACCAGTCCAGCATCTTATCCAGTGTCACTTCTAATAACACTGTCATAAGATTTAAAAGGACTAACTAGAACAAAAATTTTATACAACATGTCGTGAGAACATACTTTTTTTCCAAAGGAAGAGTGTAATAAAGCATCAATAATGACATTCATGTTCTGTGGACAGTGACTGCAATGTTAATTAGCCCACAGGATAAAGAAATTATTATTTTTTGGGTAAGGAGAAAAGAAGGACATTGAAACACTAAAATGGGAATAAAACTGAAACAAAGCACTGAAAACATGAGACACATGGGTAGGAAACAGAAGAACATGTACCAACTAAGATCATTCTGAGACTTCAAAGAAGTTCTAACACCACTGCAACAATGCGACCCCGTATGATTTTAAAATGGTAGAAAGACAAATGATAATACAATAAAAGAAAAGAAAAGAAACAATAAAATAGAGAAGAGGACTACCCACACTTCAGTACAAATGTTTTCTCTAGTGAGTAATTCCAGGATTCATGCTCACACTGTGAGACATTGAAAGATCCACACGTTGTAATTAAAAACACTTTCTAAAATTATCAGCTAAACTTTAAAGACAATCTATTGGATTTATGAAAAATACAAGGAATTATCAAGTCATCAACAATTCTTTTAGCATCAAAATTTTTAACTCTGAAAATGAGACACAACCAACATTATGATTCAAGTATTTTACTACAAATCACATTCAAAAGAAATAGGTTCTGAGTGGAATAATATACTAAATCTAGTAACTTCTCATATTTTTACAAGAGAAGTGTCATATGAGTTCTTGAACCAAAACCATGATTCTCAAAGAACTTAAAAGAATGACAGTCAAACCGGGTCTCCACAAACTCCATACCAAAATTATAACCAATTTTTTCAAATTTTTAGATAGGCCTACTGTTTTATGACTTTCCAAAGCAACACTAAAACAATAACCATAAGTTTTAAAATTGCACTGGTATTAAGTTTCTTTTCAAAAAGTACTAAACATATGAACTCCTCCCACACAACAGATCTTACAGACCCATATGGGACTTTGTTTAAGCAGTAAAATGAGGGGATGGGGAGATCCACTCACCACCATTTACTTATAAAATAAATATGGAACAGCGAGTTTTCATAAATAAAGTCAGTGAAGAATAATTCAATTAAAAAAATAGAAACAAAAACAAAATCATATTTGGATCCAATACCACATTAAATATTGGTATACAACGATAGTTCTGTACTATGACTAGAGATGCTTAAATTTGCAATTAGGTAGTTCAGTAAAACAATTTTTGGCCAGAGCAAATTGTAAGTTAATGCTTAACTAAAAGGAACTATAATGGGCCAAAATTTACAATTTCTGGACAGTCCACACACTATAAGATGATGCAACAAACTCAGTAACATACTACAACAATAAGCATTCCTAATGACTAAGCTCCAATTAATCTCACCTCTGTCTTTATACCTAGCCCCAGAGAAGCAGCCGCAGCTACCATCAAGATGATCAGGGTTGTATCTCGGCAAGCTTCCCAAATAAACCTCTAAGAAACATATAACAGCCAAATAAATTCAATATCACAATTTTTTTCACTTATAAATAGATAGCACATATTACTTATTTAAAAATCAGTAGGAAGAGCGCAATGCCCAAATGTTGAAATTAATTGCAATACATACCCAAAAACTCCGTCCTTTTTTCCGAGGATATGTGTTGGATCCAAATAAATTTTTTCTCTCCAATATATCATCATCATCACCAGGGATTCCTTTCTCTAGATTTGTCTTTAACATATCTGCCAGTCCTTTAACCTAATGTAGAAACAAAAAATACATACAAATGACAATTAATATAAAAAACAAAAAAAAACAAAAAATACATATAAATAAATGAGCTGCAATTAGACTTGCCCCTCCATATTGCTGCAAAGCAGACATATCATGTTCCCTCGTCAATGATGCAAGTGCCTCTTGTCCAATATCATAATCACCAGTTGGAGTTGGAGGTAACTTTGGAGTTCCTGATTCCAAGATGATGAAGAAGAAGAAGTCCATCATAAATTGACAGAAACGTATAAAACACTGACTTGTTAGTAATCATAAGAAAAGACAACAGACTCATTACAAGCACCATAAGACGGTGCTTTAAGAAATAAACTTTTCTTACTGGCCCAAAAAAAAAAACACATGACCGTGAAATTGCAGCGGAATTAGACCCTTGCCACATCTGAATATCGTGTCCTAGTATATGTTGGAGGACCAGCCTCAACAAGCCTACAACTATCCCAAGAGCACTATAGTTGTTTTCTATTGGAAAAGCTTAATAAATCTTGCAAACAACGTAATACTTACTGAAATACATAATTGTATGGGAAGGCAAAATTTACTGAAGGTTTCTAGAAATATATAAATAAACTTTTGTGCCGAAAGAAAACAATATCAAGAAAATTGCAACAGAATTATATTTAGTTTATAAACGTAATTAACTTTCACATAATTCAAATTTCTACATTCTCTCAACACTGACTAACCACTAGGACCGTACAGACAATTCAAATAGTCAGCCTCAAAGCCTTTTTCCAACTATTTGGGGTCAGTTACATGAAATTGTATCACCATTCCGCTTAGCTTTTAAAACAATTTAGGCAATCAAAGAAAATGACGCAATTTTAACTGTACTCAAGTTTTAAATGTTTCCAGGACAAACTGAGAATGAATGACAGTATTGATACACTTGTGACGTTCAAAAAGCACACCAAATAAAAAATAATAAAAGAATTGGAGAAATCGGTTTGCATAGGTGCAAAATTATGGCCGATGTGAATCAGCAATTTTAGGGAGTTGCACGAAACTGACAAATAAATAATGTAGGGAACTACAGAAATAAGTCAAACATAGGTAAAAGGTGATGGATCCAATTTGAACGAACAAGTTTGAATCTGCATAAACTCAAGGGTTATGAATAAGTGACAGTTCAAGTATTTAGAAAGTTAATAAAAGCCAAAAAGGGATTTTTTTTTTTTTTTTTTTTTTGTTAAGTACCAAAAAGGGAAATCAATAGAACATATAAAGGTTAAAGACCATAGCTGAATAAAATGCATACTAAAACAGAAAAATGAAGAAAGAATTACACAAGTAAGAACACTATTCAAGTAAGGGAATGCTATTCAAGAATAACGACAACATATAGTTTTTCAAACCCTATGCTTACGATGCCAGATTGTAGGAAATTAAATACAAACTACAGTAAATTAAAACAAGAAAGTACAAAAAAGGCAGTACCATTTACTTGTTTCCCAGCTGATTGGAAAAGATAAGCCGCCTAACAGAGCAAAAATCATAGTTTAAGATTTTGCCAAAATGACTAAAAATATGTAAGAAAATTAAGTTACAGACGATATTACTCGTATGACTTGTGCATGTGCTCTAATCTTCCTTATTGTTTGCTGCTTCTCTTCTTCCTTTTTCAAGTCCAAGGTATATCGAAATCGACGAGAAGCATTTAACACAAGTGCAGCTTGCTAAAAAAGAGAGCATTCATTTCAGTTAGTCCAAAAATTAGGGCTATATTCAGATACAACAAAGAGAACAAAGTAGCGTGTAAAACTTTTTCGTTATAATAAATATAAACAGGTTATAAGAAATACAAGAGAAATACAACTAGATTAGGCTTTTTTCAACAGATTACAGCTACATAACTAGTGCTAAAATTAGATGCCTAAATAATGGAATCATAGACATCTGGTCACCTGAAAAAGCAAAATGGCATGTTACAACCACCAAACAAAGTATATCATATGCTTTAAAAATTGAGATTCATGTATATCAGCAACCCACATCTAAAACTAGCCATAAAACCAGAAAATTAAAGATAAACTAACAAGTTTCCCCAATATTAAATCACCCCGATGGTCTAAGAAAGTAAGTTTTGTGAATGTAAATACCACCAACGTATGGAACTAGAAGGTGGACTACACTGTGTGCATTCCATAACTTATGGTATTTCTTCTTCTATGAGTTAAGTAATTTCTCAAAAAATCTTCTGATGTTAAAATTAGACTGTCTCTCACACTGCAAAGTGTGTATCATTTTAGAAAAAGACGCGGCACCGAATGAAGTTTTCTAAGGAGATTGTTGCTAAGTTGGCAAAGCTAGCGGCTAAGGAGATTGAAATCTATGTGAATTGTGTGATACCCCAAACAAGATGACCTAGCATCAACTTGTCGCAAATCAAAATATAAATGGCATTTCAAAAAGTGTAAATCATTCACATTATAAAAGTAGATCCAAGAATAAAATGGCAAGGGGTTCCGACAGAGTTTTAAAAGGCAATATGAAGTGGATAATAATGACATGATCATTATGCCAGGCGTGAAAATGCCATAAAAAATAATCCATGAAAGTAGGACCTTCAACAGCATAATGGAGAATCCATTTAATATAGTGGATAAAGTAGACAATTCTTGCAAACCCAAGGTAAATAAAATGAAAAAGCAAGAAGAATAAGTGTTTCACGTAATTGCATGGCTTGAAAAGTATATAAATTTGTATGCTCAAGGGATTGACTAAACGAGAAGCCAGAAAAAGGGAGTTCAACATTTTTCACAAGAGCCATGGTCATTTTGATGCAAGACTTTAATGAATAAATAAGAGTTAAAACGATTTAGTATATGAAATTTTAGCTAGTACAAGACTGGAGTAAGAAGTATGATTGTGGGAATGCATGGTTAAAATTAGAGAGAAAATACGAACAAGAGAAACCTAATGGAGTCACACCAGTAGGCCTAGACGTCACATGTACAGAATGTTTCACACCCTCAAAAGTTTGTAATCACTCACAAAAAATGTTGTAAGACTCTCATTCATTAAACAATTTTTATATATAAAAAATAAAATAAAATCGAAAAGGACCACCCTTTTATAATAAGGGTAATGCTATATAAACCGAAACAAACAGTCGATCCCTTTGACCAAGTCAACCTATATACTCAGTTAGCAAATAAGTTTGGCAAATAAGACATGAGTCAACCTTGGAGTTTGGGTCAATAGTTTATCACCTTGTGACATATATACCCTTATTTTGGCCAAACTTTCCTCACTCCACTAAACTCTGTCATTCCTGAGATCAAAGACTCTTAAATAACAAACTCTAATTTCATAATTTCCTTCTATTATTGAACTATGTCATTGCAAACTACTATTAGGGCAATAGAGTTCTCTTTTATATGTGTGTGCGGACAACGACAAAATCAACTTGAGTCATGAGCCTCTACCCTCTAAATTCCTCCTATCAGACTATAGAGTTCAAGCCCAACCATAAGATCCATAGACGACATTGCCAAAAAACAAATAACTGCTGCTTCTATATCTTTAAATAATCCACACGTCCTTGCAACTTCATATCGTGTATATATAGCTGATGTGAAGAGCAAGAATGGACCTAATGGAAGAGAGAGAATGGAGTTGGCTGTTGGACTGCTATTGCGGTGAAGATGAGAGATGGCTTAGTTACGAATTTGACAGTTGTGAGTCTTGTGACTTGGCATACCCACCTGGACAGCCACATAGATTACCCAAAAGGAATTGGCTTAGCCCTTCATTTTTCTTATAATAAATATTAGGGTGGTGCAAATATATTTCATTTCATACGAAAATTACCATATCACCCTTTTCAATACTCTCTGGCTTATCCCGAAGTGTAAGTATCATTTTCCTTATAATAAATATTTCCTTTAATACAAAAATTACCATATCACTCTTTTCAGTACTGAAGCACTCTGGTCATTGGAAATCATAAATCAGTTGTCATATGTCACAATTCAGAGGTATCAACAATCATGTTTTTCAACAATGGTAAATGCCGTTAAAGAGTTCCACCAGTGAGAGCTATAGACATTAATAGTCAGTGATAATATATAACTACTCAGAAGAGCTATAATAATAAAAATAAAAATAAACACGAAACTCCAAAGCAACAATAGTTTGTATTTTGCCGCAAACAAATGCTGTGCACTAATATGTTTGCCTTTTATATATAAATGTTTAATTCCCATCACGTTTTCTAATAAAGCTTATTGAGAGCATGAGGTACTTGGGTTAATACAGGATTTCGTTTAATGGGCGTGGGGCAAGGCTTTGTAATGTTATATTATGTTTTCCTTCTTTGGCCAGATGATAATATCACAATCCACTTTGTGCCTGAAATGATTTTATATTTAAAACTTCACATGGTTAAGAAACATAAGTTTTCTTCCATAAAAAACTTCCTAATTTTGTAAACAGAGCACTGTTTTGCTACATAAAGATCAAATATACACTTCTTACTTTACTTAATCCACACTCCTATTTGAGAAATCTGCAAGCAAGGGTGTAGATCAGTCCTAGAGAATCCTACTTCTTGAAATCCAAGCTTATCAGAATAGTAATCAACAATGAAGAGGTCAAACAAAATAAAATCATATTCAGATTGTTATCTACCTGCAAACTTTAAACAAGTGATCTAAAAATGAAATAAATCACAAGAACAGCAATAAACACACAAATATTTTCATGTGATTGTGTGTGTAATGAAATAAATCACAAAAACAGCCATACATAAATATTTATGCGATTGTAATGTGTTTATTGTAACATAAAAACAAAATTGTAGAGAAATTAAACATACTCTCCATCTTTTAAGCCGGTCTATTGAGGCATTCTTGGTCCGGAAGATGTCGAATGGGCCAGAAGAACCCTCATCGTCTTCGTCGTCATGTTTGCCGCTGCGTCCGGCCTCAATGTCATTGTTTTGATGCCGCCGATTCGGCGAGCCGTTCAATTGATCACTCATTCTTCTTCCTAAGAGGACTGTCGCAGGAGAGATGACACCGTTCACTGTCAATTCTCAGTCACTGTACTCTTATTAGAGTGACTGATTAGGGTTTCAATTGCAAAAAACTTAATCGGCATTCACTCTTTGTTGCGAAGAAGTTCAATACACTATATACATATATGTGCTTGAAAAATGATAGTAGGAGAATTAAAAAGGAATCGAAGAGCTTAGAAGTTTACCTTACATGAATATTTATAATGGGAAAGTGAAAACGGAAGAATCTCACTCGGTTTCTTCAGAGAGAGAAAACTAGAAGACGCGTATTTTTTTCCCCCTGATGATCCAGGAAACTGCTCGAGACGAAATTTCCAGGAAACTGCTCTGTGCAATGGAACAGTTATGGTAATAAGTGGGTGTGGTTACGGTGGTAACAAGCAGTAAAAGTAAAAGCACTACTCCTATTTTATTAAAAAGAATGAAAAGAAAAAAGATAAAAAAAAAATACTTACGAGTAGTATTTGCGTAGGGAATTCGAATTTCTACAAATAGAAGAAAGTGGGTTTCGATACTTTCTTGAAATTTCTACAAATAGAAGAAAGTGGGTTTCGAATTCCCTACGCAAATACTACTTGTAAATATATATTTTTTCTTTTTAATAAAATAGGAGTCACATACTAAAGAACGCGCTAGGGTTTTCTTTTGTCCGTAATGGGAGCCACGTTAGGGTGGTGCGTGGTGTGCAATAAGAAGGTATTTTCCTTATCTGGGACACGTGTACCATTTTGAGGACAGGTGGATCACATTGAAAAGAAAGTTGTATTGACTTGATGCTTTTGAAATTTTTTATAAACTTGGAGACTTTCCACGTATACTCAATTGAATAATTGACAGAGCTGCAACAATTGACATATACAATAAGAGCAACCAGTATATAAATATATATATATTTATATATATATATATATATATTTATAAAATATACACGGTCATATATATGATATATAAATTTTTTTTTATCTATACTATCATATCACCGATATATAAAATTATTGTATATTTTAAATTTTTACATATTCTTTTTTCATCCCTCTTTCTTATTCTATTAACGAATTATTCTTATATTAAGTAGATTTGTAGAAATTATGTGAGGGTCCAAGTATAACATTAATTAATTGTTATTGAGAAATATATTTTTATATAAAAAAAGTATAAAACAATCGCTCGAGCTAAAAATTAATAATCTAAAATTTTTGTTACAACTGTTGAACTTACTCTAATATAATATAATATCTTAAGGCTCCTTTATTTGGCAGAGGCTTGGAATTTTACTTTTTACTATAAAAGACTTCCGAGATACTACTAAATTAAAACTCATGTTTTTGAAATTTCAGTATTTTACGAGAATTGAATTTCAAAAAGAGTTTTGACTTGTTTAAAGGTATTGAATTTAAAAAAAGGGAATGTAATTTGGAAGGACGTACTTGGTTGGAAATTTAAGAAACAATTAAAGAAATTTGTAAGAATTTAGTAACTAACTCTACTAAATAAATAAAAAAAAAAAAATTATTCCGAACAAAGCTAAAAAAATGAATAAGTTAAACCGTTTGCAATCAATATGTATCCGTTTTGAGAAATGATTCCTTCTGCAAAGAAATCAAAACCAATGTTTTCCATTTACATGATGGAATGCCCCCACCACGTGAACCGTACCGTTTCCATATTTTTGGACTTTCTATGAAGCTTCATTGTTTTTTTTCTTATTTTAAATAGTATTGCAATATTATAGAAAGAGATGACATATTTTGATGACTTTCTTTCTTAATTTATGCCATAAATTTCGGTGTTTTCCAATGTCATCTCTTTGTTTGGTAATGAAAAAAAGTTTAAAAGGGGTTTTTTTTTTTTTAATATATATATGAAAAACAAAAACAAAAAACACAAAATGTTTAAAATGATTTTTTTTTTTTTTTTTTTTTAAGTAAAAAGTGAATTCCTTGGAAGTCATACTATAGGTGTGTGGGTTAGTTTGAAAATTTCAAAATTTATCCCATAAATTTCGGTGTTTTCCAATGTCATCCCTTTGTTTGGTAATGAAAAAAGTTTAAAAGGGTTTTTTTTTTTAATATATATCTGAAGAACAAAAACAAAAAAAACAAAATGTTTAAAATGTTTTTTTTTTTTTTTTTTTTTTTTTTAAGTAAAAAGAATTCCTTGGAAGTCATACTATAGGTGGGTGGGTTAGTTTGAAAATTTCAAAATTTTGAATGCACTTCACACTTTCACAACCACTCGTTAGCATTGACTAATTTTCCTTTAATTAGGAACCAAGTGAAAAGCCCCGTCAACATAGTAGGAAGAGATATTTGTCTACGGATATTTCGAATATATACCAATATTTAAATAAAACAACAATATGTGATTTTTATATTTCTGATTTGTTATAGATATAGAAACCCAATTTTAATATACATTGCTTTATAATTTTCTGAACCAAAATTTTTTCTTTGAAATTGTACAGTTGATCATATTTTCTACCACACTTACTGTAAATTATTTTGATACTGAAAACTTCCCAAATCCCAAACTTGTCAGTAAATATTTACCACAATTTTGATGCCTTTGCATTACTGGAAAATGTATAAGTTCACCGACAGAAATAGAAATATTCCATCAAAAGAATACTAGTACTTTAGCAAACAGCAAGTTTGATATAAGCTGCGAAAATCTTTGAAAATGGTAGACAATGTGCACACAAATTATAATTTATCGAAAAATAATCATTAGTTGAATAATTTCTTTTCGTGGACGTCTGTATAAATAATAACATGTGGACCAAACAAAAGAAGAAGAAGAAAATTCAGAAACTGAAGAAGGTGACATTTCAAGAAGCTGCACTTACTGTTTTGAAGCGAGAAATAATTTTATTTTTTTTCTAGAAAATTAATTTTTGTTCGGTTTAATACCATTTTTGCATTACCAGAAAACATAAATTTTCAAAAGCTTACCCTCGAAATGGAACATAATTAATAAAATATGAATGTTGAGATACATACCGCGGAAATGAGGCGCAGCACTTGATCAATAAGCTTTCTTTGGGTGGGAGATGGAGAGCTATCACGTACAAGGACCTCTTCAACACAGAGAACAGAGACTTGATGAGAGAGAGAGAGATAGATAGAGAGAGAGAGTATTTCAAAATAAAAAAATAAATAAAATAAAATAAGAAGAAGATCGAAGAAGTAAGAAAATTAATGACATTTTATACTATATATATATATATATATAATGTAATTAACTAAGCAAAAGACCCGGCATGGGTTTGTTGCAAATGTCTCATGCAAATCAGTAATTGAGTAAATAACAAATATGAACAAATTAATAAAGTAATAAATAATCCATGCAGAAACACAAACACACACTTAAATATATATATATATATCTGCTTACCAAATCTTTATAACAGTAATCTTCGAAATGTTAGACAGGTTCATGAGCTTCCAACTCTCGAAGTATAGTTGCGGGCGGTAAACTTTCATATGAACGAACTAAATGCTTTTTATATCCCCACTGGAAACTGGAAAGGACGTATCATATTCCTACTTGCCGCACTAAACTTTCTTCCACGTACCCCATAAATTAAATTAATCCCATCTTTTAATTTTTTCATCACCCCTTTTTATTTTTTTTATTCTTATTCTTTTTCCATTTTTGGTTCTTCTTCCAAACTTTGCTTTGAAGCAAAGTATAAAAATAAGGCCAAGTGTTACCAATTCGGTGATTGCCAAACCCTTTTATGCTCGATCTTTTCCAACCTCTGGCCACTGGCAAACAGTTGCTTTTTTGTTTTTTGTTTTTTTTTTTCCAAATAGACCGGTTTTATACTTTGCTCATTCATATTTCTGAATGTAGGTAACGTATTCATGTTACCTGGACTTGATTACGTGTCGGATATAGTCACACGGCTAAACAGAAGGGCGCATTGACACACTACTAAATATTTATTTTATTTAATTATTTTATTTTATTTCATTTTTTTAGAGTCTATTAATGTTTATATCTAATATAGTGTTTAATATATGAAGGCATTTAATTCATTTTAAAGTAATAATATATTATAATTGAATATGTTTTTTTTAAGTATAAATCCACTCAGAAGTGTCAACACATATATTTCATATCTATGCCCAGAAAATATGTATCTAACACTGTATTTTATTACTTTTTTTTAAAGAAATCACGTAATCTTAGTATCTAACTATATAAAATACACCATTAAAACAGCCTCTTACTTAAAATATATAGTTAATTAAAAGGGGTAATTAATATATAGCAAACCTTTTGTTCACATTTTTTCATCTAATTATTTAGTCAGACATGCAATTTGGATATATAAAAAAATTGCAACACCCGTCAAATCCCAAAAGTTAAAAAATAAAAGAATCAAAAACCCAACAAAACACGTATATAGTTCACCAATTTTTTTTCTTCTTATTATTGTTTAAGCTTTTAACGTGATGAAATGGAATACATTATTGTATGTGGTACGAATTTGCACGAAACAATGAAAGGGGTGTGCCATATGGAAGAACCAAAATATCTGCAAATTTTCGGACGTGTTAGAGGATTTGTGTGAATATATATATTAAAACTATATATGAAGTTGTAGAGCTGCCAACTGCCAACTAATTTAACTTGCAAGTTTTTCAAAAATATTTTTAATATAATGTGGGATTGAGTCTATCGATTGGCAGGTTACAGGTAGGTGAAATTTTGATAAATATAATGCCATTATCACAGTATGATTGGCATTTATAAAAAAACTATTATTTATTTTATGTAATAGGGGTGTGACTTTGCTAAGAATTCGTACATGACGCTCGATCTCTACATGAATTGAATAAAGTTCGGATTATGTCTGTGGGGCATGGTCTTTAAAAAATTATTTGCACAATGTTTCATAAGGTGCATGACTAAGTCTTTTCCAACCAGGTCAATCACCGGGGACATTATATCCAAATTTTTATTTCATATTTTAGAAAATGTATATACACACACACATATTTGATTATAACTTTTGCATGCATCAATATTCTATCTTCTTCCCTTACTTTGATGGTTAGACCATATTAAAGTTTTTTATTCATCTTTTAGAAAAGAAAATAAAATACTTCCATTTACCCTTTTCTTTTCTTTTCTTTTCTTTTTTTTTCTTTTTCTTTTTCTTTTTTTAACCAAAAAAATGAAAATGTTGTTCTCATACCTTTACTTTCGGGCAACGTACGGATATTTTAGAATATCAATATTATTATATATGCCACCTCATGGACCAATTCCGAAGCCATGACCACATTGCTTCTTCCTGTCTTCATACTGCGTGTAAAAATACAAAACGAATCTCATAAATTTTTTGATGTTACATGTGTCAACAACAATTCTTGTATTATCGAGAAGAAATTTTATAAATTAAGCATACAAACTGAAGCATTTGCAAGTAACATATGGAGTATATTTTAGTCCTAACATCAATTACAAGATTGCACCAACATATATATATATATATATATATATTTACATGCCAACTTATCACAAACTAAACAATGTGATATTTTTTAAAATATAGATATATATTTTACATGCGAACTTATCACAAATTAAACGATGTGTGTTATTTTTTAATATTTTATTGATCATTTTGCCGGCATCTCGAATTAAATTTAGTATTATTTGCAAAAATTAATTACCCTACCCGCAAACTCACTTCTCACTCTTTTCACTTTTCTCAATCTCTCACCTTTTTCTCTCTGTCTGTCTTGAAAACCCACACATAAATTTATTTTTGAGTCAAAATAAAGTCGTATTAATAAGATGGTATTAAAAACAAAATTCAGACCTATACTATATCTTAATTTGAAAACAATTGAGTATTATACGAAACAAATCATCTTTTATATATATATATATATATATAGCACTCAACTCTTTGGAGTATGGGCCACTTGTATATTTTGTATCAATCGCAACATTTGGAAAGATAAGACTTCGTTTCCACCTGGCAATGGAAGCTCCCGTTGTCATCCTTGAACCGTGTTTCTGTCGGTAGAAATGTTTCCCCAATCCACTCAAGCACTAATGAATTAAGTAATGCCACTCACGTTGGAGGCATAGGTGGCAACTTTCAATATATCTCATCTAAGATATTTGCGATACTGAGTGACGGAGACAGTATTTTGTTTTATACCTATGATACGATTTGTGACTTCTCCACTCTCTCACATTCGCGAACCGCCCTTGAATGCAGAGACCCAAAATGAAGCAATATTCCTTCAAGTTTTAAAATCTAAATGATTCGGGAATTAAACAAAGACCACGCCGGGAGGCCCTGCACCTATGAGCTCCCAAATTAAAGATTGCTGCCATACGGAGTGTTATGGTAGACCTCTACCTATACAATTCCACTAGGACACTCATAAGAATTTTGGATTAGATGATGAGAAATTTGAGCATGCTCATCTAGCGGGCTCAATGTGAATAATGCAAAAAAACACATCCCATACAAAAACCTTTTAACATCACTTGGATGAAAGTCATTAATGATAACGTCACAGCTCTAAAATTTGAATTTCATTTAATTCGTCATTAGACGAACGGTTGTAGAGCAATGTGAGAGACTTGACATCTTATGGGTCAAAAGTGTAAATAATTTCATATTGACGTATGGTGTAAGGTAGGATTTATTACTAAGCTGAGCTTCAAACCACTAAATAATAACAAAAAAATCCAAAGCTATAAATAGGGGCAAGTTAAAAGCATTCAAGGTAGAAATTAAGCAATTGAGACACGTCACCAACCTTAACCTAGTTATTCTATGTCATGAGTACAAACCTTTCAACCTTCACCAATATTTCCTTGATTGGTCTATTTCTTCACCTTCCGCAAATAGTTAAAAGTGAAATATTCCAACCTTGTCGGCTACACCACCAGTTACGAAAAATAGTGTTACTAAAGGATTCACTACCTTTTGCAATTTTGAAATCTCAAATTTTTGTAATGTGGTAAGGTACAGCTGATCAATAACTTTAATTCAATGCTATTTATTGTAACATTTCTACTTTAATTTTGGCATTCTATGCTATATTTCTACTTTTAATGTATTACCGGACTACCAAGGCTTGGGGACACCTCACACCTTTAATAGTGTATTATTACATTATATTTTTAAGAAGCTCTAAAATGGTAGTTCAGAATCGAATCAAATTGGTCTTTTAAGATTAAATTTGGTTTAAGGGTCGCTAGTTTTGATTCTAATTTTTTAGAAAACGTTGTGATGGATTTGATTTTGATTTAGCCTGAAACTGACCGTTGTGCACCCCTTTCTACGTTGGAAGAAACTACATAGAAAAATGGGACTTGTGGACCAAAAGTGAAAGGTTGTTAGGTTCACTTATTCTACCAAAAAGAAAAAACGAAAAAAGAAAAAGTTTTTTTTTTTTTTTTTGAAAGTTAAAGTTTAATTGCAAAAAAAGCAAGAGAAACAAAGTTAGCTAAAGGGCTTAAAGTTTCAGCACCACTCTAGCTACTCCCGTACGGTATCAAGACGTTATTTCTATTCTTACAAGTACTTGGTCAGCCTAATTCCCGTGCACTCCTTAGCCAACACACTCCTCTCGTGCGCTTACTAGTGTTGTAGTGGCCCTCGCCCTCTCCTCACTTGGCTTGCACACTCACACACACTAAAGCACTTAAGTTGGCAAGAAAAGAACACTTCTATTACTTCGAAGAATGCTTTGTACAATGCTAGTTCTCAAACTCTCTCCAGGACTTGTTGTCTACAAAATAAAGTCCTACCTCTATTTATAGGCATCCCCATCCCTAATGGACAGCTAGGATGCATTTTAACCAATGGTAGAGATCGATTCTCTAGAATCTTCTCCCACTTTCTTCACACTTCCATACTTATCCATAAATATCTACAACATTCTAGAACTCTCCATACAACTTCACACAACTCTAGAGAACTCTAGAATCTTCCACACACTTCTACACATTTCTACACATATCTAGAATCTTCCACACAACTCTAGACTATTCCGGAAGACTCTAAAAACTCTCATACCATGCAGTTGCCATGCAGCGTCCTACTCAGTGTCTGCGTGTCGCCTGCATGGCACAACCTCCATAGGTGGGGCGTGACACATAGCTAACTAATGGAAAGAAAGTTGGGCCAGGCCCAAATACAAAACAAAGAGCCCAAAAGAGCACAAAGCAATAAACAGTTGACCATGTATTGCATCCCAATTCCGGTAACAGGAGCGTAACTCCAGCTAGATAGGAAATAGAGCAGATTGAAGGAGTTCCAATTTGTAAAATACGCAAAGTTCTAAGAACATTGAAACTTAATTGTCAAACAAATCAACTTATAAGGTATCAAAGTCTAATATTGGTTGGAATATCCCAAAATCAGCTGGAGCACCACATTTCTACTAAAATGAAGTTAATGTATAAGAGGGTTCTTTTGTTCTCTATAAAATTCTTCAATTTATCAAAAAGAAGGGAGTGAGAGAGCGCTTGGAATGTAAGCAGACACTTCAGAAAAGCAAATTCTATATATATATATATATATATATATATATATATATATATATATATATTCTGATTGTATTGGAATCAACAGAAATATCTTATCTCTATACTTAAATCAAGTTGTAGGAAAAGCTTGTAAAAAAAAAAAAAAAAAAAAAGGTGTCCTCCAGTTTGCAGAATGTGCATAAATTTGATAGGAGCAGGTTCAAATAACACTCAATTTCAGGTTTAATTTCCAATCTTTCCATTTCAACACAAACACCTCGTTTGTGCTACAAATAAAACTATAGGAAGAGACAAACAAAGAAGGCTAGTTGTAATAGGAGTACGTAAAAGGCAAAGAGGACAACCGGAAATAACTTGAGATAAGATTATTAAAAATAATTTTTAAAAAATTAAACATTCTGGGTGAAATAGAATGTTATAGAAGAAATGAGAGAGAGAGAGAGAGAGTTTATGTGGTCCACCCAATTCATATGAGATTAAAGTAAGGATGATGATGATAATGATCACGAGAAAACAAGACTATGAAAGTAAATATTCTCAATTTATGAAAGAGACTGTTAGATTTATCTTTTCATTTTTGTCTCTTTAGCTCCAACAATTTCTAGGAATCAAATATATGATGTGAAGTGATCGAATGACACAAATTGCAATCTTAGAATAAAGTTGTATTCGTTTTTTGACAATATAAAAGATAAAGTAAATGTGAAAACGAAAAGGACTAGTTGCCAAAGAATTAATTAAACAAGAATATAATCCGATAAGTATCACATATTTCACTTTTAACCTTTCTTTTTCTTTTTTTTATAATTGGATAATGCACGGATTATGCTAACCTTGTTGACCAGCAGTCGGTTCGCAGATTCACCAGAAAAAAGTTTCGATCAGTGCAAGCAGCTATTCGGAACTATCCAATACTTGATCGAGTAATTGTCTCTTTCTTCCACTGCCGTCCAGAGAATATATATATATATATATATATATATATATATATATGTATGTATTTCTATATTGTGGAGAATCAGTTGAAGGAGGGCTTCTTGCACAAGAGCAACTGAAAATGCGACAAGCATCACATCACTTACTTATTAAAGTAACACAAGACTATAGGGTAAAATAGGGAAAGTAAATATGGTGAAGTATTTATGGTGCGTTTAGTTCTGCTGATAAAATGATGCTGAGGATTTATGGTGCGTTTAGAATAGATATTGAAAGATGAAAAATTAAACCGTATACTTTCTCTCCTCACTATTAGATTATGAAAGCCAAAAGTAATATCATCTATATTCTCTCCCCTCTACCAAAAGCTATTCCCTCCCTCTTCCCTTTTGTTCTCTTCTTAATTCCTTATTTTCCTCAACAAACAAATTAAATAATTAATGCGATACATTTTCCTTTTTTAGTAATATTTTTATGCTAGAAATAAATTATGTAACTGATTGGAGTGGTGGGGTGTCTAATACACTGAAGCAGTGAAATCTAAGCATATATATATAATATATTCTCACCAAACACTTGACGCTTACATATATTCGATAAATAATGAAGCATAATTGTTCTTTAGTAGTAGCTAGTCATATGGTAGGGTATCCAACGAAACTTCGAGGAAATTAACATCAATTGCTTAATTATTTAGCAACGTACAGAAGAAGCTTCAGGGAAGAAGAATTTGAGGGTCTCCTCAATTGACATATATAACCTACAGTTGTCAGTTTTTTTTTGTACGATTGAGAGAGGAAAAATGCCTTATTGGTACTAGAAAACGGATAGAGAATAACACAAATTCAAATACAACGAACAGAAAAAAAAAAAAAGACAAAAGATTTTAATCACATGCACTAGTCATAACTCAATTATTTCATTTCTTGGTGTGTATATATATATATATATACACACACACACATACATATAGCTGTATTAGGGTTAATTAATTCAAAGCAATATTCGTCTCTAATAAGTTAAATATGGGGATATCAAATGCTTTTGCCAAAATAATTTAACTAATTAATTAGTGTCACGACGGACCAACTCCAAAACACGTTGATCTAAACAGTTAGGACGGATCCACACATATAACTTTCAACAATTTCTCTCAACCGAGCTCAACTTTATGAGTTTTCGATTAAGGTGGTTGGCTTGCCCAATTGCTAGTTAGGTCAGGAATGAGGATGAACAAAATGGTGTAACTGTAGGAGTACAGAGAAGGTAGCACTGCCAAACCCTTCCTTCACGTCACGACTTATAAGTAATATATAATGCCAACACCTAACATGCCGAACATGCAAGCATCATAGCTTGGGTAGCTACCTTAATTGATTATGATCAGTACGTACATAAGTGGTCATCACTCTTTCAAACCTACTTGGCCGGACCACATCTATATATATTTACACTCACAAACACACACACATATATTATATACACACAATCAGCTTTGACAACCGTGGATATATAATTACTTTACAGCCTGTTGATAATTCATTTGATCTTATGGGTCAATGGGTCATATGGTGTTCCAGTACGTACCAACATTCAACTGCTAGACAGAGAGAAAAAGCATTTGGTAATTTATAGCCATGGAATGGCAAACCTAATTATATATACTTAAATATTAAAATGATATAGAGATCGAGGAAGTCCGCAACAATATGAGTGATCACTGCTGCAATAAGCGCATCATTTTAATTACTAACGACTGTAAGTTTGGGCATGATCATAATATTGATTTGGACGAGCCCCTCTAACAAAAAGCCACTATACATGCATGAGGCGATAGTGATACATACTTAGGTATAAAAACCTAGCTGTAGCTTTGAGTGTTGGTCTTTAGTTCAAACTTATTCCAAATCCTTGACGCGCTTGCAGTGCAAGATTTTACTTACATGCGTGCACATGCACTTAAGTCTTTATGAATTTTCCAGGAAAACGGCATAAAGGAAAAAAAGAAAAAGAAAAAGAGCAGTTTTTGGTGACTGGTGAGCAATTATCCATCACAAACTGAGTCGTCGTCGCCGCCGGCCACGGCGGCGGATGTGGAAGTTGTGAAAGTCGGTTGGGAAATTGGCAGACAAAACAGATTTATCCACGCGAAACCACCTTTTAGAATGAATTCTTTGACTAATTTCGAAGAATTAAAATATGAAAAATGTAGTAGTATATATATACTGCTATTCTATATTTATTGGTATTGTAATACTAAAAAAGACTTGGGAAATAGGATCAAGTACTTAGCTAAAATACCAAATACGCAATAGTTTAATCGGTACAAATTCACCTTTTCTAAAAAAAAATAAAAAATAAAAGTTTGAATCTTAGTAAAAGTATGAGTGTCGAGTTTGTTTAAAATTCTAAAAAAAATAAAAAAATAAAAAGAAAATTACATATAAATAGAGTCAAAGTTCCATATTTACTTAGAGGCTAAGTCAAAGTTCCATATTTCTCTAAAATGGATTGCTGAGGTGGCACATGGTTTTTTACTGTTTAGAAATTGTGGTGCCTAAAATACCCTTCCGCGAAGGTACTACTTTTTCTTCGAAGGTACTACTTTTTTGAACTGAAGGTACTACTTTTTGGTGTCCAGGTACCATGTTTTTTAAACACCCGCGAAGGTACTACTTTTTCTTCGAATGTACTACTTTTTTGAACTGAATGTACTACTTTTTTGAACTGAAGGTAGTACTTTTTTGTTAGGGAAGGGCATTTTAGGCACCACAATTTTCTAAACAGTAAAAAACCATGTGCCACCTCAGCAATCTATTTTAGAGAAATATGGAACTTTGACTCAGTCTCTAAGTAAATACGAAACTTTAACTCCATTTATATGTAATTTTCCCAAAAATAAATACATATAGCTAAATTTTCTTGGCATATAAGTATATTATATTAGGAATATTTAACGTGGGACCATGTGGACTGGCACAACTTCCCTCGAAGTCCATTAGTGATGCAAAGGCTTATATTTTCATTGGATGGTGAGTTTGTAAGGAAATGTCTGTGGAATTAGTGAATGGAGCATGCAGATGGAGCCCACTCTCTCCTAAAAATAGACATTGATCTTCTTTGCAATTTCTGGGTTGACGAATGGAATCCAGTTAGAGTATGGAGAGAATTTATTATAGTCTATCTTTGACGGAGTGATCTAGTTGGTCCGATTCTTCCTTTCTAAGGCTTTTCCTTGAAATTGCCATGGATACTTTTGATTGTGGGCATTCACATTTAATAACCAACATGGTAATTAATTACAATCGTGGCCTGTCGGTAAAGTGGAGGAATGAAGCCTTCTAGACTACGTACCTCTGGATGAATCATATAGCTAGGGGACTGAGTGAACAAAAATGTCCACAGCTTCCGTGTTAAGAAGGTTATTGGTATGGCATATATGGTTCAGTTTTTTCAATGATACTTTCCATTAAGAGTTCTTCTTAGTGGAAAAGAATTAATGGAGAACAAAGTGTAACTCAAGAAGTAAAACTACATATGACCCGCATTTCTCGTTGGATGAGCGAGGAAAAAAGATGAAGATAGAATTAAGAATTTTAGTAATTTAGGATTTTTATTTATACTTATTATTATTTTTACTAGTGTTTGAATTTTAGAGTTCTTTTAGTATTTTAATATTTTAAGTTTTGCCTATACAAAGATCAATATGTACTATGAGAATTTACTGCATACTCAAAATTGAAATCATATAAGCCTATTATTTCTAAGCCCTATTATTTTCGCGCCGAATCTTTATCCTCGTTATTCCAAATACGATTATTCTTATATAGACACATTTTTTTATCTTCAAACAGTTGAACATGGCAATATTGCTACTGGGGGACTCGTCTACTTGTTAATTAGCTCTCCATTTACTATTCGAGGTTGAATGCTACAAAAAAACAAGACTCTACTCCTTTATATAGACATCCACCCCTTGTTGTAGCTCTAGGATACAAATATTCTTCTACTCTTTAAAACACTCCTCTAAAATATCTTAAACATATTGTACAAACTTTACAATATTTTCCACTTTTTTATAATTTCTTTAAACTACCAAATCATACAATCCTTAATTTATCTCTATGCAACATTCCACAATTTATTACGAAGTTAGGATAGAATACTCTAGAATCAAACTCTCCAAACATGCCAAGCAAACGTCATGCTCGCATGTTTGCCAAGCAAACGTCATGCTCGCATTTTTGCCAAGCAGTTGTGACGTCAAATATATGTTGTAAGAAACTAGTTTAAGGTTAGTTGCAATATGAATCTATGATATACAAGCTTAAGGTAAAATCGACTTCTATTTTTTCCCACAGGGTTTTGTAAGAAGTGTCATGCTCTCTATATCCAATTGTCCAATTCCCCCCCCCCCCCCCCCCCCCCACCCGACTTCTAAACCAACTTGTGTGCATTCCACTGCTTGGCAACTTGTCTCCAAAAAAAAAAAAAAAAAAAAAAAAGGTAAAGCTACTTACAACCTACACATGAAAATTCGGGGGTATCACACTACTGCAACATCCCTACTGCTAGCTAACAGTGATCGAGATATATATTGTCACCTGTCCGCTACCACTTGCCAAGGATCTTGATCACCATCCACTAGTAAGCCATTGTTCACTATTGATTTCTCATCATTCAACATTCAGCTCATTAACAAGACATGTAAGAGTCCCTACAACCCATCAGAGTCAACTTTTAAAGCTGTTCATGAAATGTTTTCTCCCATTACTACTGATTCCTTAGCTATGGAGGTTAGTTCTAACTCAGATGATGCAAGTTTAACTGATCATGACCTCCTTAAGCATACCATCTATCTTGGTCCTCCACTCAATGCATCAAACAGGGTTGGGAATATGGCCATGAGAAAATCCAAGAATCATAGCTCTAAGACCTTGCCAAAGATGATACTAACCAAATCTTCAGGTTTGAAGTATCTTAAGGGTTCCCATAAACACCCTTCCAAATAACTATCATTACATGAACATTAAGGGCCTAAATGAGCTCCATAAATAGCTTGAGCTAAAAAAACTCATCTTTGAGCCCAAGATTTATATTCTTTCTATTATAGAT